ACCGATTTTGATGATACTTTTTTCTATTTGAATGTCTTAAAATCTTATCAGGATCTGACCAGCAGTTTTTGAGTTTTCCCTAATAAAGCATATCTAACTTTGACTATAAAATAAAATTATCATTTTTTATTTTTATGAAATCGGTTTTCTGTTTTATTAAAATAAAATTTCGTATTATAGGTATGTCACGTAGCGAAATGTCGCTTCAACCAAATAGCCTTTCATCCCTCGATATAATGTCTGTTTTGTTAACAGATATCTATAGAAAGGAATTAACAAAGTATCCGTAGTCTTATAGGTATGACGTCCTGTACTATAGTTCTTATGTGTCTGTCTGCAATCATGCGATCACAGCGCGATCGATTTTAGGACAGTTATCATTCTTTTACAACATGACCGTACCTACTCAACATGCGTTTATAAATCCAAAACACAATGAAAGAACAACATCGTGTTATAATTTTCGAAACATAGGCATTCATTATTGCAACAATTCAAATTACACATTTCCGATGTATTGTATGTGTACTTCCATGAGCCATTTTTTTTGGATTGGATTACTCTAAACAATAGATCCAAGTATGTATTTATTAGTTGACAAGGCCGATACCACAAAGAAGAAGACAAAAAACCATAGACGAATTGAAAGGAAAAACCTCCTAATTACAACGTAGGTATGATATAAAATATCATTAAATTTGACCTTCGCGAACATACGTTGCATGCCAATACTTTTAATCTTTTTAACATTAATACTACTCTCGAAAATGACGTAATTTATATTTATTATTAATTAGACATTTTGCTTAAACATTGGAAATGAACATATTATGCAATAATAATGCAATAAGGACTAAATTGTCGTGTTTTTTTATTAGCTGTCCACTTGCAACAGCTATAAGCTGTTTTTGCGGTTTTTTCCCGCTACCTAATCGCCGGTAGCCTAAGAGGCTGTAACCAGCTACGGTCGGACGGATAAGTGAGCTCACGGGCTCAAAGCTCAAACTGAGAGAAAAGCTAACACTAGCTCCAATAAGAGCAGTGCTTTGCTGAATCTACCACCATATTGGACAATTGCATAGGCATTTTCATTTCATACATATTTTAAGCTCAGATATTGTCACTTTTATGCAATCCTTGAATTTCAGTTTAATTTTTGTCTAATAATTTATTGTTTATCTGTATCTGAAGTAAAGCTGTTGTATTCTGTCTACGAGGAGCACTGCTGCTTGAGATACAGGCTTTATCACCTAGTTCAACCAGAGATGCAAATTAAGATTGTGTTTCTACTTCTATGTTAACAATAAATAAATAAATAAAAAAGGTTATGACGGAGCGTATGCAGTTTTATAGAGGCCTTGTTACGAATGGCAAATTTACTTCGCTTGTATGTAAATTGTAGGTCCTAGGGTTGAGACGACCAATTAGAAAACCGGATCGATCACGGTCTGTTTTAGTATGGGGACGGAATGTCATGCCTCTATCAAAGGTGACGCCTAAGTACTTGACCTTCGCGGTACAAGGCTTGAGCTAGCCAAAGATTTTGATGGCGAGAATGAAGTTACCATGCCTAATACGAAAAGGAATGTTTTTGCGTATAAAGGCGGGCTGCAAACACGTACGAGACTTCATCTAATGAATCACATGATTTTGTCAGGTTGACGAACTATAAGACTGAGGGTACTGACTTTACCTAGAAAACTTTAGACTTCTTCTTTAAACTACTATTTTTAATCTTTAAACTGCTCCGTCGGAACAGGGAAATGTAAACAAAGGCAAGACTGTCACGTTAGTAACTAGTCTGAATAAAACTCTTGGACGAGTATTCAAAAGGAATGCATTGCATTTACATGTGGAAGGTGAAAGGACTCGATGACCGAGAAACTTTTAATTAGACCCTCATTTAGTGAAAGGACCTGATAAAAATTCTAACGGGACACTGTATAATATTGTGCCTTGTAACTGATGCAGTTTCGGATACTATGTAGAGAAGAATTCTTTTAACATGCTGCGCGACTGCTACGCTTTAGACAATATTAGATACTCGCATCAAAGAGAATATATTCCTGCTACGACAAATCTCTAAAGAACTAATCTGTGTCCCATAAAAGAAAACCATTTATTGAATTTGAGATTGAAATACATGCATGTGGTAAATATTACCTACTTAATAAACCTTTGAATATCAAAATTTTAATTTTATGTAGATTAAACCAAATATTTAAATGCATATAAATATATAATGGTAATTACGGTGTTTAAATAAGAAAAGACGAAATTGCGTTTCTTCTAAACAACAAGAAACAACATTTAATGCCCTTTCTTCAATAATTCTTTAACACACATTTCACAACGTCCATTAACCGAAAAATTATTTAAACAACTATCAATTGTCATATGACAGATTGACATTCAATCATTCATTACATCTCCCCCGCTGAAAAGANATGTTGTTTTATAATGGTAATTACGGTGTTTAAATAAGAAAAGACGAAATTGCGTTTCTTCTAAACAACAAGAAACAACATTTAATGCCCTTTCTTCAATAATTCTTTAACACACATTTCACAACGTCCATTAACCGAAAAATTATTTAAACAACTATCAATTGTCATATGACAGATTGACATTCAATCATTCATTACAAATATATTTACATTAATTTCTATTTATATTATTGTAATTAATATTCACGCGGAACAGAATTCAATAATGTTTCTTAATATATTTGAACCAAAAACAATAGATGCTAACAATTAACAAATAAATTGTATAACTGAATTTCATAAATTTAAAGTAATAATAGTGTTGGCTTCTTATACCTTTGAAGTTTGACCCGAGGATAGATAATAGATGATAAATAGTAGAATAATTAATCCACACATCCCACACACGCTTGGGCGTTTGAAATACGTATTTTGATAAAAGAAAAAAAAAACAAAGATAAACAGACCAACGCGATTAAAATAATATTATTGATAACATTATCATGAAATTACAAAGTGAACATTAAATTTTGACTTGATTTGTAGAAACTACTTTAAAATTATTTATTATTTAACATGCACCATAATTATTTAACACTAGCGACCCGCCCTCGGTTCGCTTCGAAAATATTAAATGTTCTTATTGATAGCTGGGTCCCGCGATGTTACCCGTCGTTGTGTTATTGTCGTACTGCGGGTGAAGCCGCGTGATGAAGCTAGGTTAAAAAAGTAGCCTAAGTTACTCCTTATATCATCAGCTACCTATCAGTGAAAGTCCCGTCAAAATCGGTCCAGCCGTTCCAGAGATTAGCCGGAACAAACAGACAGACAGACAGAGAGACAGACAGACCGACAAAAATTGTAAAAAATGTTATTTTGGTGTATGTACCGTATATATATTGAGATGCATGTAGTAAAAAGGCTATTTGAATATTACAAACAGACACTCCAATTTTATTTAAATGTAATTAGAATTATTACGGTACAACTTAATTGCACCGATTGCAAAGCCAACGCTCTAAAAATCACCGCTACTAACCACGATCACGATTGAATAGGCATACCTATTCAAGCTTAAGTTGAAATAGAGAGAAATAGATGTTTAAATTTTTAATCAACAGGAATCAATTACCTTAAACAAAAAAAATCGTTTGAGCGTGCGTTTTTGCGCTTGCGTTTTTAAAACCTTTGCACTGTTATTTCGTTTTAGTTTTGCACAAATTTATATTACTTGTGTTACTGGCAGTCGATCATCGAGTTTAAGAAAATAACTTAAGCAACGTATAATTTTTAAATAGAATAAATTTAATATAAATGATGACTTAAATGACAGATTTTGTTATAATAATTTAACACTTTGCCCAACATCAGCGAACATTCTCTAGAAAAAATATACCTAAACATTACGAACACCCATTATGTAATGTGTGAGATAAAGAGAGATAATTCTAGAAAAACGATTACAAACGAAAGATATTTCACAGGCGCACGAAGGTCCGGATGTTATCTTTCGAAAGTTGCATACATTTATGCAACTAACAATCTATCATTAAAGATTTCTTGAAATAAATCTTCGCGCGATTCAGGTATATGTCAGATTAATGTTAGGTATTAATGACAGATTCTGATACCGAATTGTTTTATAACTTAAACAACCATGTCCACTCATCTCGTTAATAAAATAAGTAATAATTATGGGAAACAATAACTAAATAGCCCAAGCAATGTGTGAATGACCAATACACATAGCCCGAAATAATACACACAGAACGCCATAGATTATTTTAAAGCAAAATAAAGTACGATGAAATTTTATAAAAATAAAAACTTTTCGGAATGATTATTGCAATTTTAAAACTTGTATGGAAAAGTATTAAAATTGTTTCTGGTTATGGAAAATTCGACTCCGACCAACCGGAGTGTAAAAATTTCCTTAAACTTATTGTTTGACTTTCAATCGAGAGTTTTCAAACTCAATAAGATATTAATCTAAGTTCGTCGCGTAAGATTGCATTACTTTACGATATATTTGTTATGAATATAGATAAATAGTACAATATAACATAACAGTAGAAACAATTTCAACAGAAAAAAATCGTTAACTTTTCCGAAAATCGTTTCAGTCACATTCAAAGAGAGTAAAATTTTTTTTACATAAATGTTTATGATATTTTTATCTCGAAAAACATTTTGCAGTCATGAATAAATTATGTCAACTACAGGTTTCAGCAGTTTTGAAACATTCAAATTCAATTTATACATAATAAGATATAATTAATATTATTTCTAAAATAAAATATTATGTTCTCAGTAAAATCATATAAACCTGCTAGGAATTAATTATTCAAGTAATTTTGATAATATAACAGAAAAATTAATAATAATATTTAGACATACAACGTATATTTTTTTTTTGTATCTTTACACAATGTAAATTTTATGATCTTTATTTTTTTCATTATTCATAATTATATGAGCCAATTAATAATGTAAAATTAAATAAACAAAACTTACATATTTTTATTTTATTTGTTTTTTTTTTAAACACTATAAACACAAACTTGAAGTTCGAAGAAAGTTATATCGCGACTCGCTCGCTTAGGCTGCGATAATCGAATACGCTGCCGGCGAAACGGCACGCTTGCGACTCTGTGAACGTGGAATCACAATTATTGTCGATAAGCGGATGCCCGCGCCCGTCGGTGGGGCTGTTGATTGTTTGTGATAATGATTGTCGCTCTGAGAGCTATGTTGTACGTATAACAAACGCCTTATTGTTGACTTACTTATCCCTTGTTACATTACAAAGAAAAACGCACCAACCGAGAATCTAATCTATGGCGTTATTTAGAACCTGAGTAAACAAACGTCCATTAGTTTAAAATTCGATTACACATAAAAAAAAATAACCGCACAACGAGGATAAAAGAAACTGCCGAAAATGGCTAAGCGAGTCAACTTGATCTTGGGTATGTAGTGAACATAATAAAATAAAGATAAATAATATTATACAGCTAAATGCAAAAGCGAATCCATAGCGAATGCTTGAAAAAATGTTCAGGAGGATCGCGGAAAACATCTAAACCTAAAACTATGTTCAGGAATAAATTCTTCTCTTTGACTCTTTCCAAGTCAACCGTTTTCGAATCGCTATGTGATCTCATCTCTTCCAGGGGGTATCGGTCAAGGCGACTAAGGGGTTCGTCGGAGAATGGGCAGCGGCATTCTTCATATATTATAACCGGTCGTTCTCGTCGAACTCGTCGCTTGCGACGAAGGGCTCGATGAGTACATACATATATATTATAACAGCATACTTCGATCGCCAACCTTTAGGCGGCCGGACAGGAAGCCTCTGCGGGTAGATACCACCATCCTCCTAATTGCTGCCGCAAAGCATATCATAAGCTTAGTGGCGGCATTCATGTTGGGATGTGTAATAGGGACCTTAACCAGTTGTGCGGTGAGCTCGTTCAGTCATGTAAGAAAGAATAAAGTTAAAAACATCGGCTTCACTGTGCTTCCATCACTGCTAATGTCCAATAATTATAGTAAAATTTGTTAAGCCCAGATGATTCGAAGTTGAATCGAAAAAATATAAAAAAATAATCAGAATATTAGCTTCTTTTATTATATAATTGCTAAACAGTTGTTTCGTCGCATCGTATACATTTCAGATCCTTTTATTTACATTGTAAATATTTAGTTTAAATAACAGCAAATAAAAAGAATAAGAACTATGTACATGTTGCAAACAAAATCTTGTCTATTTATTGTTAAACTATTTTGTACATGTAGGTATATGTTACGGTAAATGTACTCTTGGGAAATGTACCTACACTTTTACCGGTAAACGTGCACATTTGCCAAAAAGTTAGGTATATGTGAACTGAATATAATTTATATGTACATTTCCCGGCAAATGTATACTCTGGCCTTCTCGTTTTGGTAAATGTACCTATTCTCTTACCTTCATGTTTTATGAAAAGTTGGAATACAAATAATAATGTTGTTGCATTAAAAAAATATTTATTTAAATAAACATAATACAAAAGGCTTTAATAACGAAAACTATTTTAATTAAAAAATGTAAATGACAAACGAAACATACTTGTCTTTGCATATTTTATAATATGTCGGAGGTTAGGTTAGGTTAGGTTGTAGCGCAGAGTCGTGGGACGCCGTGGTGTCCTTCTGCGAGGACGTGATGTCGCAGAAGGAAACTGCGGAACGGGAGAGGGAGATCTAGACTCCCTTCCCCGGCCGCAGAAGGCGCACCGGGCGCAGGAGAAGGGCGGACAACGCCCTTTTCCGCCCCCCATGAATGGGTCCAGGGGCGAGGGAATTGGGAAAGCCCTCGCCCCCTATTCGATGGACCTGAGACGGAGGCGCGTGCGGGTGTCGGCGCGTGTCTCTGAGGCGATGCACGGAGTAGCTGAACGCCTCACTACCCCGTGCAGCAGACGAGGCCTGGACAGACCGGGCCAGCACTGGTGTGGGGCTGCGGAAGAATTTGGATTCCCGCGGCCCTGCGCGCACGTGTGGGTGGACACCGGGTTGGTTTTAGCCGGTAGGAGTCCGGCACGCCCCTCCGCCTTTCCCCAGGCGGAGGTAGTCCATGAGGATTTCCCCCCGAAAAAAAAAAAAAAAAGGAAAGGTTAGGTTGTAGTGGTGCGCATATTACTAGCACTTGCGATTTCGTATTTGTATGCCATGCTCACATTTACCAAAACGACATGGTCATTGTGTATTCAAAGTACATTTATTTCCCTTCTTTCAAATTGTAAATGTTAGTTGAATGCACATTACCCAAACGAGGAGGCAAAATGGACATTTACCGGAAAATGCCGCAATATCTACTTTTACCGTAACATACACATACATAGTTACCTAATTAAATTACTGTGTAGGCAGATAATTACACTAGATTATGATTAAATAGATCATAATTTATCGTTATTTTTATTATCTTGGAATTATTTTATCTGCGATTAGTATTGGTATTCGTAAACAACAAAATCCTGAAAATAAATTCTTTTTTATCAGCGTAAATGTTATTGAATTTATTTCGTCACAGAGTGAATAGTGACGCACATCTTGTAATTTGAGGGATCACGGTTTGTCCAGAGAATTAGCTACATTTTTACTCCGCTTGCAGATCACGAGGTAAAGTTCACAAAGCTTAGGGGCGGGGCGGTCGCAAGCACATTTTACATGAGCGCGGAAGGTCAATTTCGGATATTGACCTTCGTGACTTAGTGTATTGTTTGGCTAAAGAGGGGATCGAGGGGTTTAGGTTCTTTGGCCTAATTTTATGAATTGAGATCGAAGTTTCTTTTATATTGGACTAACGGCCCATCTTAGCATTCATACCAAAATCCATGCTTACTTCTTGGTATAAATTAGTAGGTACCTGTTAGAACGGTATGTTGACTTCACAAGGTTCGGCGCTCTACCCTACGCTTTTGTCCTGCTTTTGACATGCGTATCCATTTATATTACGTTTTGCTATGAGGATAAGAACTCACTGAGGCGGGTCTCTTACGAACTGGCTTACGGCCCATCTATTGTTAAGTGGTTACTGGAGCCCATACGCATCACTGCGTGAATACCGCCACACACCTTGAAACATAAGGTCTAATTCTCAAGTCTACAGTATAAGTTATAATAAGTTTAAACTCGTACAGTAAAAGCTCTTTATCCGCGGGGTGTATGTTCCATAAATATACCGCGAATACAGAAACCGTGAATACGGATAGTAATTTATAAGGGACTATCTGACCCAGCAGACTTCGTAGTGCTTCAATCAATAAATAAAAGACCTAAACTTTTGTTGTAAAATAAACTTAAATAGATTATAGGGTATCGGCGTTCCTAGGCGACAAAAAAACAAATATATTAAAAAAGAACAATTTAATTTAAGATTTTGAAGATTTTGATTAATTATCTTAAGACTTAGACAATGGTTTGAAGAATTTTGTAATTTTCCCATACTTGGTATTTTTTAAAAGAAAAGCTCCTTCAATTTAGACTGATACGCAATTTGCGTCTCAAAATTAGGACTTAAAATAACACGCAAAGCGGCTTTTACCATAGAAAAGAACAGCACTATTTAAAAAAACACTATTTGTTGAAAAATAAGGCTGCTTTCAATCTGTTTACATTCTCAAAAACGCCGATCGGGCCTTATGTTTTTTTATTTTTATTGCTTAGAGGGGTGGACGAGCTCACAGCCCACCTGGTGTTAAGTGGTAACTGGAGCCCATAGACATCTACAACGTAAATGCGCCACCCATCTTGAGATATAAGTTCTAAGATCTCAGTATAGTTACAACGGCTGCCTCGCCCTTTAAACCGAAACGCATTACTGCTCAAAGTTCTCGGCGATATCATTTTTAACTTCATACATACTTTAGGGAAAGTTGTAATAAGATCTATTTTACTTTTTTATTAGTCCATTTGACGGCATTTAGAAGGGATACTGCGTTATATACCTATTGTAACCTATTGGAATCCTTTTATTATTATGTATGTACTTATTAGATCTGCGAATAAAGAAATTTTTAGCCGCGAATTGGGTCGCATTTTTTTTAATCCGCGAATACTGAAAACGCGAATTAAGGAAGCGCGAATAAGCTTTTACTGTATAATAATATAAGTATAAGTTTCGAAGAGTGGGACAGCCGTCAAACTGTTGCTGTCTCACCCTTCGAACCGGAACGCATTGCTGTTTCGCGGCAGAAATGGACAGGGTGATGGTACCTACCAATCCACTTCGATAAAGCGGCACGACACGAGAACCCTCTCATCGTGGCCGCCGGTATCTACATTCCCGATCCTGCGGACAGAATGGAAAGCAGTCGACGTCGCCCAAAACACGTCATCTCGGATCCTCCCGATCCACTAACGGTGCTTCTAGGTACTTCAAGCACCGGTCACCGTTCTCGTCGAAGCAAATTAACTCTCAGACACAGCCCATTGAGTTTCGCGCCGGATCTTCTCAGTGGGTCGCGTTTCCGATCCGGTGGTAGATTCTGCGAAGCACGGCTCTTGCTAGGGGTCGTGTTAGCAACGTCATCAGGTTTGAGCCCCGTGAGCTCACCTACAATCGTTAGGGTTACGCTGAAATAGCCTCTCAAGGCTCTCAGCTTAGGTAGGAAAAAAAAAAAAACCTACCAATGCGAGATCACAAGACGCCCTACCACCTATAAAAGATGTGAAGACTACTCTACGACAGGTGGAACCTGTACTTTGTAAACGCAAAATCTTTGTTAAGGCATGAAGTACCACTTCATTTAGTTCAAGACCCCCAGAAATCGAAATGAATGAACGACATAACACGTAAAGTGATGGCCTAGTACAAGATGATTTCACGAACGAATTAGTCGCAATCTGTTCAAAATTATAATCGATTCTACAGTGGTCCATTTTTCGACTCAAGAATCGAGATATTTTTCAACTATCCGTTCAATCGTATGTGAGGGATTTACATACGTATATGTTTACGTACTCGGTATATGGATACAAATATCGGAGAGTACTCAGATATGTGCAGAGGCTTGGCTCTGCCCCTGGTATTGCCGACGGCCATGAGCGTTGTAACCACTTACCATCAGGTGGGCAGTATATTCATCTGGGTTTTTTTCTCATCATCTGGTTCATGGTTTTTTTATACTTATTTGCATCATTTTACTAACTCAATGCTACTAATACTCTTGACTTCATAGACTTCTTTGAAAAAGTAGCTATCAACATAATTCTCTAATTGTGGCCGCCTATAACTAAATATTCGACCCAGGCGACGGGGCAACGTAAAGTCGGCGTCGCCCCAAATATGTCTGGCCGGATCCTTTTTATCCACTCTTGATGTTCTCCAAGCACCGGTCACCATTCTCGTCGAACTTAGAGAGAACAAAAAGTTGGACTAGAAACCTAGCCCAATTTTTTTCCGGCAAGAGGCCGAAGCTCATACGAGGTGGCCGCGTCTCGAAGGCATGCGAAGTATGTGCAACTTGACGATCTGCAGATGTGGGGAGCAGACTGTAGGCCCAAGGATGCTTTTAGTGTTCTACCCACCAAACAACTCCCCTTGCACTCTCTCTCCCGACATCTCCACCCGGGATCAAAACGGGAGCATCGTAGTAACAACAGTCGGCAGCGACAGGTCAGGTACTAATTTGGTGACGAGGACGCAACGCTACTCTGCAAAAGCGGAGCGATACGTGAACTTGTGTTATGCCGTGTCCTCGTCGCAGCCACTGCACTGGTGACACTCCGGCGAACTTAGTCAATCATAGGCAACCGCGAAAACTTTCATACTCTCTGGATTCTGACCTTGGGTGGATATCGGACGTCGAGTGAGGGATTTCAAAAGGAGTCGTTTGATCGGTAGCGCGCTAAAACATCCTTGCGCCCGCGGTCTGCTTCCAACATTTGCAGATTGTCAAGTGCCACATACCCTGTGTCTCCCTAGGTGCGGACACCTTATATGAAGTTCGGACCCCTATCCAAAAAAAAACCCTTAAACACAACCCAATGACTTTCTCGCCCGATCTTTTGAGTGGGTTACGATTCCGATCTTGTGAAAAAATTCAAGGAACGACTGCTCTGACTAGGGCTAGTTCTAGTGTTAGGCAATTCTCTCAGGTTAAGTACGTGATCTCATCTATCCGTCCACGCGTAGCTGGAACAGCCCTATTAGCTTCTAACGATTAGGTAGGGGAAAGTCATAGCCATACTTACGTCTTCATAGTAAATACGGTCGTCCTTATTTCCGGGCAATTGCTTTCGTATCCATGATTGCATAAATTATGTCTTCTGGAGTGAATATTGTGGACTCATATTCATCAATTTATAATGAAAAAATTGAGATTTTTCAATCGTGATCGGTGTCTCGTGACAACCTCCAGATCGATTCAAGTCGACTAAGGCAAAATCCTCGAAAATCATCGAGATATTTTTAAAATTCGACTTGAATATTTTAGATGCCTCCAATCGCTATGGTTACTAAGCCGTACTACACTACGTAACTACGTTACAATTACAAATGAATTTTAATGAACTTCAAAACAATCTACTGGCTTAAAGAGATACTAGTGTAGGTTAACCTCATAGACCGAAATTAAATAGTAGGCGAAATGTCTCATTTTAAGTTAATATCTTCAACGAAAGCTTCAGACATAATTCCTGTGAACAAGTACGTGTCGGAAAAAACAGGACTTACAGTAATAATAGCTGATGTCGAAGGACCGCTTGTGAACGGGTACTTCTGTCTTGGTAATTTATACAACATTGCATTAAAAAAATACTATATAATAAAATATAAGTACGTAAAAACTATTTGAAAGTATGTACTTATTATTGAATTACATGTTTAGCGTCTAAATCAAACTCAAACAATTATGCATTTTTGTACCAACTTAAAAGTACACAACAAGTAAACAACTCACTCAATAATTTTGGATTTTGAATTACAACCTGTATCAGATTCGGTAGAGATTTAGTTTCCAACTGTTTGTTGAGATAAAAATAGTAAATTTAATTATAATAATGGAGAAAGGACCTGAGAAGATAATCAGTTAGATTATTATCTAACTGATTATCTTCTGCAAATCTATTGAAGAAGATATTGTAGACTGAAGATGTTTATAATTATGGTCAGTTTATAAGTTAACTCTACATAATTTTTATACTCACTGGAAACATGAATTATGTTTTATTTCCCATACCCCTCCCTCTAAATTATAGCTCGATTATGTGAAAGAACTTTGTCAATATTTCCATTCCATGGATAATTTTGGTTTAAATTAAGAATTATTGCAAAAAATCAATAATTTTCACTGCATTTATAAGTGTAGATTATTCAAAAGAACTTAATTATAACATATGAAAATAAATTATCAGTTTTATCTTAAAAATCTCAGTTGACAATAGCATACTGTTGTAAAAATAATGTTAAATAATGATTTTTTTGTGTTCTACAGCAACAGAAGCTCATGATGATGATGGGCTGCCACATACATTGGAACATCTTGTTTTCTTGGGTTCTAAACGCTACCCTTACAAGGGTGTACTTGACCAACTTGCAAATCGTTGTATGGCACATGGTACGAATGCATGGACCGACACAGATCACACGTGTTACACTATATATACTGCAGGGGACGAGGGAATGCTAACATTGTTGCCTATATACATCGATCATATTTTACATCCAACCTTAACAGAACAAGGGTTCATTACGGAGGTACATCATATTGATGGAGATGGAGAAGATGCTGGTGTTGTATATTGTGAGATGCAGGGTCGCGAAAATTCAGCTGATAGTAGGTTAGCAAACAAAATAATATTAGTTGCATGTATAATTGTATTAAAATAATGATTTTTGTAATTGTGTAATTTTTTTTAATGTGTTCCATAGATGTGAATTGAAATTGTTACGTGCTATGTATCCAAACTCTGGATACTCTGCTGAAACAGGCGGTATCATGAAGAACCTTAGGACATCAACTGATAATGCAAAAGTAAGTATGCCTTTGTGTTATAAGATTTATTACTATGTGTTTATTACTGTGGAGTACTGTAAATCTGCAGTGGTAGCTACTCCCTCCATATTTTGGTCGAGCGATCATGGAATTCTGTTTTGCAGGGTGGGCTTAGGTTATACAATAAAATTGAAACGTCAATTTCATGTCTCAAGGCTGGTAATGACATAAACATTCTTTTGCTCTTTGTTATCCATTTGAAAACAGGTTACAGGTCACAGGAACTCATTCACCTGTCGGTGTCAAAAATAATGACCACATACTAATATGATGCAAATTTTGTATTGGTAGACGGTACAATACCTTTGATATTAAGAGTTGTTAGTGCTCATAGACCTCTAACCGATAGTCACAACTCCTGAGTTTCTCGCCGGATTAACTTAGTGGCTCGGGATTCCGATCACAGTGATAGATTCAGTAAAGCGGTGCTCTTGCCTTAGCAACGTTACTTGCCCTAGCAAGTGCTCTCAGGCCGAGCCCCGTGTGCATGCCTAATAAACTGGTGGAACTGGAATAGCCCTTCAAGGGTACCCATGATTAGGGTTAAGAAAAACCAATTCACAATGTGAATGTCCATAGGAACCTTAGGCAATGTAGATGTTACATTTTTATTTATTTATATGTTATAAAGATAATTATATTTTGGGGAGAGAAAGGTGAAGTGCTTTACAAAGAATTTGGCAGCAAATTCAAAACAAACTAATGAAGATATCATTATTTATTGTAACAACATTTGAAAAACAGGTTTTCCAAACTTTACTGTCAATAATTGTAAAATATCAGAAATTTTATAAAAATGGTATATAAATTTTTTCATTGCGACAATTCTCATGTTCCATCATATTTATCAATAATAGGGTAAATTGTAATATCATTATTTATATTGTTAATGTCTTCCCGAAATACTGATTCAAATTGATGATTTCAATAATTATAGATTATCGCACCAAATATACATTAATGTGAAAAATCTTCTAGGTAAGAAGCTTTCATAAGAAATTCTACCGATCGGAAAACCTTACTATTATTCTGGCGGGACAAATACAGGCGAGCGACGTTTTTTCGTCATTGTCAATTGTAGAAGATGACATCATTGCAAAGGTGACTTCACTTAATTTAAACTACTTTACTGCATACCATATTCAAGTTTTAGACATGATAGAGTGAAATTAACTTTTCAACTATGTATCAATTTTAGTTCTTCTGAATTAAAAAAAAGATATATAGATATCCCAAAAAGTTATGTACCTACTTGTAATCTATTTCTTATGTCATTAATAATGGCCATTAATTTTTAAGTAACTGTCAGACTCAAGCTACTAGCAAAAACTAAAACAGGTTTCAATTTAAGAAAATTGTTACTTATTGAGTTTCTTATTTAAATATGGGCTGAAATTAGTTTATTGGCACACACCGCATGACCTGGTTAAACAAATTATACCTACAAATTATTATTACACTGACATGTGCAGTATAATACTAGTTACACTACACCACTTGAACTGTAGACACTGGTTATTAGCTTCACATTAAAGAGAGAAACCAACCATTTCCATAATTATCTTGTGTTTTTAGAGAGAAACAGAACAGCAAGAAGAATGGGTCAAACCCTGGCAGAGTATCCCGGGACCACCAATTTATGGAGAGCTGAGGGAACAATGGCCGGCTGATATTGAAGATTGCGGACAGGTATTGTTTTATAATAATATCTATATTTAGTATTTAAAAATTCATTTTTGAAAATTAAGTTGGTTATAGACTAATATAAAATAATATAAATTGTTGTTGTTGTTATATTATGTTTTTGTGTATAATTGTTGTTGTGAAAACAAAATAATATAAAACAAAAGCAAGCCAGCTTTGCAATCTGTAATCAGACAATAATTGTTTGACAAATTATGTATGAATTTGTGGAAGTGGCACAAATATGAAGGTTGATTTATTTATATCTTGTTTTTTTAATAATAATAAATAAATAAATAATAAATATTTACTAACAATCACGTCACGTTAACTGGGCCCGTGCTAAGTTCATAAAGAACTTGTGATACAGGTGCCAGATAACGGAAATAAATGTAAGATTTTTATTATACACATACATATAATTAATATACACCCATAACCCTGGAAAAGACTATATTTATCATACAAATATCTTCCCTTGGCGGGATTCGAACCCGCGACCCCCTTGTGTAGTGACCATGTCACTTACCACTACACCAGACGGCCGTTCATCTGTAGAAGAATTTTATACAATTTTGAAGCAATTTTGATTCAATTAACATAACGAAAATAACATATTTTAATAAAGAACATTTTTTGTGCTGCACAATTTGTAGCTTGTAAAACCGACAAGGTGAAAAATCTTTTAATATGAACATTAAAGCAATTACATCATGAAAGTGATATACCAACCTGCAATTTCTAGCTCAAATAGAAATTGTGAAAAGTAATTAAATTGAAGCATTATTAAATTTTTGTTGTTTTTCATTTAGTACTTTGTTTTTAACAAGTAACAACTATAATTATTCAGATAATGTTTGGATGGCGAGGTCCAGTCCTATCAGATCCATCAGGTTTAAAGCAATTGACTGGCTGCGCGATTCTACTTCGATACCTGTGTGACACTGCGGCCGCGCCCTTACAGCGCTGCCTTGTGGAAAGGGAAGATGCCCTTGCTGGTGATGTAAGTTAAACCTAAATAACAAAAGAAAATTATTTAACACTATTTACAACCGCTCTGGGGGAAGGTGTAACGCGGCGCCATCAAAGCGGGCTCTCGGCCCGCTGAACGAGGGAACCGTGGCCGTGTCGCTGGCGGCCACCGGTCCGGCGTCCGTGGGACGGTGGGATGGATGTAATGTGCTCTGCGTCAACCCTGTCCCGCCGTTTCAATAGCCCCGACTGGGCTCCGGCCCGGTCCGAGGTAGGGCGCCGGTTGTGAGCGGCAGGAGTTTTTAGTGAGGTTCAACTCCCACATACCCCACCTGCCGCGCGGGTGGGGATCCGGCGATTTTCTCCTGTGGAAAAAAAAAAAAAACTATTTACAAACCATTTACAATTTTCACTAGAAAAAAAAATACATTAAAATTTCAATTTTAACATTACAATACAAAACTACATGTACATTGGATCTTATGAACAACTTCACCATACTGAATAAGACCTTTAAAATAACACAACAAACCTTTTTTGGACTCTTTGAATTTAATATAAACAAATATCTTTTTTTTTTCCTACCTATTCTGATAGCCTTGAGAGTGTATATCAGCGTTATCCTAGCATGTAGGTGAGCTCTCGGGGCTCAAACCGGAGGTGTTGCTAACACTGAGCAAGAGCAGTGCTTCGAAGAATCTACCGCCGGATCGGAAACGCGACCCACTGAGAAGATCTGGCGAGAAACTCAGTGGGCTGTGTGGCTGTGTCTATGGGTTAATTTACACACCGAGCCCTTTGTTCCAAGCGACTGATTCGGCGAGGACGGTGACCGGCCAAATATCAGTTAATCAAATGTAATTCACGTTTTAACATTCCAGGTATCCTACAATTTGACTGAGAATATGGCGTCCTTGATAAAAATCGAATTAGACAATGTGCCCGTTGATAAATTGGAAAAAGCTAAAGAAGAAGCTAGACGCTGTCTGGAGCATGTCCGTAGTGGCGGCGAGCCCATCGACATGGTCCGTTTGAAGAGACTACTGCAGAAACAACTCCGGGAGAGCGCGGCCAGCCTTGAGGCTAAGCCGCATCAGGCCATCGCCTTCCGCTGCATCGGGGACTCTCTGTACTCACAGAATGAACAGGATGTACGTCTTTTTTCAAATTAGTTAGACAGCTCACACTTGACTAAATATTTACAGGTTTTCTGATTCCTTAGATTTATTCTTCAAAAAAAACACCCTGTATACAATTTTATACATTTTCCCAGTAATTGTGTTACCTTTTAAAAAAAGACTATTTAGAACAATACACAAATTTATAGAATCATCTAACATTATTCTAATATGTTGTTCACAGTTCATATCTCGTATGAATCCCCAAAAAGATCTTCAAGATTTAATGGAAGAATCGTCAGACTACTGGTTGGAACTTTTACGTAAATATTTTAATGAAGATGTAATTACTATTGTTGGTTCCCCGAGCATTGAGATGCAGGAAAAGTAAGACCTGATTAAATATTGATATCGAATCCAAAAGCTAGGATGTTTATTTTTGCAAACATACTATTAAGGATAACGTATTAAAGTTATGTCTAATGCTCACAAGTGCTTTGATAAATATTTTTTGTTACCTAGCTGTTAATATTGACATAAACTGGTACGAAGAAAACCGAGTTTTAAATGCGCCTTTCTATGATAAAATAATTAAAAAATATATGTATTGCCTAAGTTACTCCTTATATCATTAGCTACCTATCAGTGAAAGTCTCGTCAAAATCGGTCCAGCCGTTCTAGGGATTAGCGGGAACAAACAGACAGATAGACAGACAGACAAAAATTGTAAAAAATGTTATTTTGGTGTATGTACCGTATATATATTCATATGCATGTAGTAAAAAACGGTTATTACAATAATACAAACAGACACTCCAATTTTATTTATATGTATAGATTATTTCATACAATTTAAAAGATAATTACATTATTGGTTTTGAATTCGCATTTTTGTGATTTAGAATGGCCGAAGAGGAGAAACGGAGGATAGAAGACCAACGAGCTTTGTTAGGTGAGAAAGGTCTCGCCGAAAAAGCCAAGCAACTAGAAGATGCTATTCAATTTAATGAGGTAAATATGCAGGAGGTACAATGGAATACAAAAGTGCATAGATAGCATTTTTTTTGTTAGGAGGAAATCGTCTTACTTTCGCCTATGACTTAGGGCGGCAGGCAGAGATGTCACGGTTGGACTGACTAAAACCTCTTGTCGCTCAACAACCCGCTTTCGACCTTGGGATGAGGCCGACTGGGGGCAAGGTGGCATAGGTAGTGTAAAATCGTATGGAACTAATTAATTCAACCTATCGACTATATTAATTGGTAGTTATTCTAACGTCCGTCTGGTGTTGTGGTGAGTGACATGGTCACTACACTAGGGGGTCGCGGGTTCGAATCCCGCCAAGAGAAAATATTTGTACGATAAATATAAATGTCTTTTCCAGGGTTATGGATGTATATTAAATATATGTATGTGTATAATAAAATTTTACATTTATTTCCGATATCTGGTACCTGTAACACAAGTTCTTTACGAACTTATCACGGGACCAGTTAACGTGGCGTGATTGTTAGTAAAATATTTATTTATATTTATATTTATTCTGATACTTTGGATTTTTTTGCTCACTACACAATTTGTTCAATTTTCATAACAACTTTGACAAACATCAATCTTACAAATTATACTACAAAAACATTTTCTGGTTTTGAACACTTAGTTAGGGCTTAAGAAAACTGTCTCTCATATACGATCGTAACTTATTGTTTATTTAGAAGATCATGAGGTATCAATATTTTAACTGGACGTAAGTATACAATATCACCATTTACAATGAAACCGTAATTAGGTAAAAAATACAATTAGATTTATGCCGTGCTATCATCTACTTATTACGCAAGTAGTTAATAAAATGTCATCTAGTTGATGTTGACTAAGTTAGATTAATTTGGATTGAATTATTCATATAATAATAGACCTTAAGGTATCCGTTTAATTTTGCAGCTAACTGTACCTCCGCTTATAGTTAGTTTTCCTAGAAAGTTTACTGGTGGTAGGACTTCTTGTGAGTTCGCACGGGTAGGTACCACCACCCCGCCTATTTCTGCCGTGAAGCAGTAATGCGGTTTGAAGGGTGGGGCAGCCGTTGTGACTATACTGATACCTTCAAACTTATATCTCAAGATGGGTGGCGCATTTCGTTGTAGATATCTGTGGGCTCCAGAAACCACTTAACACCAGAGGGGCTGTGAGCTCATCCACCTATTTAAGCAATATAAAAAAACATTGTTACCTCCTTATCTTGATGATTGCAAAATTATTTATATGGTTGGTTATATTTAATAATTTTATAATTATTTAATAATATAATAATGTAGTCCCAATGAACTTTAGATGTTTATAGTAAACTAGCGACCCGCCCTCGCTTCGCTTCGGAAACTGTAATTTATTATTGATTTCTCCACTATTTAATGGATGTTATTTTACATATAAACCGCCCTCTTCAATCACTCTATTTATTTAAAAAAAAAAACGCATCACAATCCGTTGCGTAGTTTTAAAGATTTAAGCATACATAGGGATATAGGGACAGAGAAAGCGACTTTGTTTTGTACTATGTAGTGATGATGCATCTTATAATTTCAGCTACCTCCACCGGCGGGCACGCTGGCGGCCGTCCCGGTGCCGTCGTGCGACTCCCTCAAGTGTCACTCCATCTCGACCTGGAGCAGCGGGGCGGAGGCCTGCCCGCACTTCGATATCGACGCGGTGCCGCTCTACACCAGACTGCACAATCTAAAAACTAACTTCGTTTATGTGAGTATCAATATTATTTCTTACAACAGTATGTAATTGAACTTTTTGAAATGAAACTTCTTTAGAATCGTTGTGATTTCAAACTCGATGAAACGAAAAAATAAGTCCATAGAGACACGAACACATAAATGTATAGGATTCAGCCGGCGAGAGAATGAGATAGAACACATTAGATGTTCTCTGTCTCCTCTTTGTGCGACTTTTCGTAGCGTCCCCACTATCGTCTACTAAACATTGTCCTTTAGTATGCTCCTGTGTAGTGGGATAGTTAGTATATCTATATCTACTAGACTACTAGTTTCACTTCTACGGTGTGTGACTTGCACACACACACACTTTTATTTATTTATTTATTGCATAGATGGGTGCAACTGTATTCGTGCTGTGATGTCTATAGGCTCCAATACCTAGTGACCACCAACTAGAAAAATTATCAGACAGTTGAAATAAATAAAAATCTGGAAAATGCTGTTTGAGATCAAATGTTTGATGTGAAATGATTGATTTACATCAAAAAAGAAAATACGCTGGTTAACTATGAAGAGTTTGTAACACGATCAGTACATTACAAATGTTAGGGTGAGAGATATTTCGGGCAGGAAAACAAGGCTAGAATACATTAGTAGGAAAATGTTCGGGAGGGGGAAGTAAGCAGTGTGCTTAGCGCGAGTTTTTCAACGTTCTCGATAGCGTAAAAGTTAGCTCATATTATAGAGAAGGCTTAAAAGGTAGATAAATTTGAAAATGCTCGGAATTAAATAAAAATAACAATTTTGTTTTTCCTTTTATGTGTCCCCCATCGGATGGATTCCTTTTGTTTGTTTTAAGTTTATTTTATACAAAAGTTTAGGTCTTTTATTTATCGATTGAGATACTACGAAGTCTGCCGGGTCAGCTAGTATCAAATATATTCATACATAATGATATTTGTTAGCTGGATAATAATGATATTTGATGAATAGTCGGATAACAGGCACATAATAATGTGATTATTTTTTGTCGGCAGATAAACATTATAATGGATACGTCATCAGTTGACGCTGCGACCCGGAGTTGGTTGCCGCTGCACCTGAACGGTCTAGCCGAGTGTCCGGTGTACCGCGACGACACACTGATACCGCACGAACAAGTCATATCGGCCACCGAACAATTAACTGTCATGTTCAGCAACAATATAGGCCTCGATGAATCCGCGAGCTTCAGCGTTGGAAAGTTCGGCAACTTTATCAGAATTAAGACTTGGGTGAGTTTACGAGACATATTTTTTTCCCTACCTATTCGCTGGTAGTCTAAGAGGCTATTCCAGTTAAGCCCGGACGGGTAGTTGAGCTCACGGGCTCAATCTGAGAGAATTTGCTATTACTAGCCCTAGCAAGAGCAGTGCTTCGCAGAATCTAGGATCGGAAAAGCGACCCATTGAGAAATTCAGTGGACGGTGTCTATTGGTTAGTTAGGGCGGTGACCGGTGCTTGGGAGTCCTGAAAGGACCTATAGTGATTCCGAGGGATCCAACCAGACAAGTTTCGGGCAAGTTGGCCTTGCATTGCCCCGTCGCGGTCGGATAAGTTATTGAGCAATAATCACAAGGAAGATTGTTAGAAGTGCCAGTCTCTGATCGTAGTTACAGATGTTCCGTTATAACTACCGAACCATGCATTTGATAGATTTGAAACTAGGTATCCATGTAGATAATACATGTACTGAATAGATGGGCTAATATTTATATGAGTTGGACTCCCTACACCAGTTGCGGTGGCGTTAATGATGAGAATCTTTGTGGTGGTGAGAAATAATGTTAATTTTAAATGCCCAGCGAAGCGAACGTGTACGGCTAGTTAGACAATAAATATACAAGATCACATTATTTGCAAATGGTATATTAAGTTGTGACTAAATTATTGTTCATTTCAGTGCGAGCCAAAAGATTACGAAGAAGTAGTTAACCATTTGTATGAAGTTCTTTACAAAGCGGAAATTACTAAAGAGAGACTCTTGGTTTTCGCTCAGAGGTTGATCAACGAAGGCGCACAGGTAAAGTAGACGCTTTATATCCTATGTATTAGTAAGAGATATTCTTAAGGAACGATTTTATGCCGGTGCGATCTAAATTCAAGTTGGAAAATTAAAGTCTAGCAATAAAATAGTTATTAGTGTTCAAAATTAGTCATCTGTGAAAATAATGTAAAATTTTGTTTGTAGTCTGGTAGTATGAATACACTAAAAGACAATCAGGAATGATCTATTTTACTCTATCACACCATTTGCCAAAAATAGCTGTTGTTTATTTGAGGAATATAAAATTAGATAGAACAACAGTACGTTCCAACATACTAGATACAATAGTAAAATTATACAAATCGCTTATAATTACTATTAGAATAGGCAGTCGGGCTTAGTATCTACTTGATGTTAAACCAAGGCATCAGCAAGACATTGCATCATGAATCTGGTACTTGTTTGGATATAGGCCGGTCTCCGTTCTCTTACGTCTCTATTTTACTGGTGGTAGGACCTCTTGTGAGTACGCACAGGTAGGTACCACCACCCCGCAGGTTTCTGGGGGGAAGGGTGGGGCAGCCCTAGTAACTAACTATCTTCTTCTATATCGTTCCCTCACTACTGAGGATCGCGACCACATGCGACGTACTTCCAATGCGCCAGATCATGAGTGGCATGGACTGCATGGTACAGACTACCACCGAGTGCTTCTCTTGCTAGATCTGACCATCTGGCTGGTGTTCTGCCCACGGCGCGCTTGCCTTCTATTCGACCCGTAATTATGTGCTTCTCTAATTCATGTTTGGGAGACCGCATGATGTGTTCGAAGAAGCTCATAACACGTTCCCGGCAGATGCAAGAGAGCCTTTTTCGGATGTCTAGCTGCCTTAGAATGGACTCGTTTGTTCGCATGGCAGTCCACGGTATTCGCAGCATCCTCCGCCACACCCACATTTCAAAGGCATCGATCTTTTTGATATCCCGGCTTTTTATGCACCATGTCTCCGCCCCGTAGAGGAATATGGGAAAGATCAGTGCCCGCACCAAGTAACTAACTATACTGAGACCTTAGAACTTATATCTCAAGGTAGGTGGCAGCATTTACGTTCTAGATGTCTATGGGCTCCGGTAACCGCTTAACACAACGTGGGCCGTGAGCTCATACACCAATCTAAGCAATAAACAAAAATCTTCAAACTGAAACGCAGAGGGATAACTTCGTCAACTATATTTTGTTCGTTAAGTTTCGCAGGAACGGTAACACAATGGCGTACGCGACCCTCCGGGACTACGTGTACTGCGAAGACAGCAACGTGCACTGGTGCTCGGTCCTGAGGCAGCTCAAGTTCCTGAAGCAACTTGTCGAAAAACTGAACGCCGGTGGAGACTGCGCTGAGAATATACTCAACGAAGCGAGGAGATCCTTCAGGAATCTAACTGCGAACGCCTGGCTACATCTGGCCGCGGACTTCGATCGGTACAAGCTCAGCGCTGAGCCGTGGAAACGGTTCGTGAGAGAGAACGAGATAACGCCACTTGAGTAAGTAAAAAAGTTAGTTTCGTTGGAATAAGGATGTGTACGTCACCAGTAATCTGAATCATATGGGTTTTTTTAAGGTCTATATTTCTATGAAAACCGGAATTAAACATAATCAAAATACAGTACATGGCGTTGGTCGTTTTATTAAAAATGGACGGATATGCGTAGTATAGTACGACCCGACCTAAATCTGTGATATTGTATACCTCCACAAAATATACTTTCATTTAAGTAATAGAATAAAATATGTAATAGTAGATCCACATTCTATAGTGATTCATTTTATATCAATTCTTTTTATAATACATTTTCTGCAATTGGTATTTGTTAAAGTCAATGTAATGGAAAAGTTATTACGATTGAATACATAAATTTTCATGTAGATTTTTATTCTATAGTATTAGAATGTCGTCTGTTAGGAACATAATGTAGAAACTTTATATAAATATAAGTACAAACGATTTTGAGCTTACGGGCATACTAGATCGAAGATTAAATTGCACTATATAACGACTGTCCTACTGCAAACACGTGCGGGATTACTTCGCAGTCATGAATACGTAGGATAATACACAAATGATTGATTATAATATCGAGGAGTGAAAGCCTATTTTTTTCAAGCGACATTTCGCTTTGTAGTCAAAGGTGCGTTTTATTTATAATTAGCTGGCCCGGCAGAATTCGTAGTGCCTCAATCGACAAATAAAAGACCTAAACTTTTGTATAAAATAAACTTAAAACAATCAAAAGGATCCGTCCGACGGGGGACTCATCAAAGGAAAAACAAAATTGTTATTTTTATTTAATTCCGGGCATTTTCATATTTATCTACCTTTTTCTTTATATATATATACTTCTTTATATATATAGATTTAGCATTAGCATAGATTTAACAGTTTGATGTTTTCAATGAAACTTCAATTAAGTTGCCATAACCATTTGAATAGCTGAAGAAGCTTTTTGTTAAGATATTTTTTTTCAAATTTTAAACTTTACATGGCACGGAACTCCTGTAATGTTCCAAAAAATGTCGCTCAAGCCAAATAGTCTTTTAATCGTTAAGTCTTTAATTTCAATAATATCGATAATAGATTATAATAACGTGTAGACCTCGCCTGTACTTCGACTCGGAGCTGCTGCAGGAGCGCAGCGGCGGGTTCGTGGTGGGCGTCGGCGGCGTCGAGTCGTGCTTCCTCACGCAGCTCAGCGCCGGGCCCGACACGCACGACGCGCGCACCGTCGCGCCGCTACTCGTCGCCATCAACTACTTCACCCAGCTCGAGGTACGCCCGCACTCAGCCTATTTCTACCGTGAAGCAGTAACGCGTTTCGGTTTGAAGGGTGGGGCAGCCCTAGTAACTATACTGAGACCTGAGAATTTATATCTCAAGGCATTTACATTATCTATTAATTACAAAATATGTATTTTTAATATTTCCTTTGACAACCATAGGGTCCGATGTGGCGTCAGATCCGTGGCTCCGGCCTGTCCTACGGTTACGGCATACGAGCGTCGCTTAACGAGGGTCGACTCATACTATCGCTGTATCGCGCCACGAGCGTCGTCGCTGCCTATTCTAAAGCCATTAGTATACTGGTGAGTAAAAATAATTCAAGACGTGAGTGGATTTTAGTTTTTTTTTAGTTTTTACTTTGAATGAAGGTGTTAAGCATATAAACCGCATTAGACCTTAAAACTTTAGCTTAAAGGCTGTTTTTAGAAATTGCATGTGATGAAGGAGATATGTATGACGAAAAAGTACAAATAACAAAAGTTTGTTGCCCGTTTTCTCAAAATTAGCAAATTGTATCATCCACTCATGTCTTCAATTCTAAAGTTAATCATTCTATGGGGTATATATTGGGTGATCAACATTAAAGTTTCTCGTATGCTGCCATTCGAGACTGTATATAATTTTTCGATATCATGACTACAACTAAACTGTTCTAAGGATTTTATATGATTCAGTAACTAAGCCAAAGTGCATTTTTTTTCGAAAAAGTAACACCCTGTATGTTCAAATGTGTAAATATGAAATGACTAAATGAAACTAGCTGAACGAATTTCTAGGCAGAGTGACTTTGGTCATAAAATATTGAGTGGCGAAAACAATACTGAAATGTCGGTTTTTTTTTGTCATCAGAAAGAATTTTTGGACGGTGGAGAATTTGATCACGATTTATTCACGTCGGCCAGAAGTGCTTCTTTGTTTGAGGTAGTGGAGAACGAGAAAAGTCCTGCCGATGTTGTCGGTTTATCCCTCCTGAAGTATGTCGAACGGGTCGGAGAACAATACAACAAGTAAGCAATATAATTAAATATTTCATATTTACTACATTACATAAGTAAGCCAAAGTACACTCACGTCCAGACCAGTTTTTTTTCGACATCAAAGCATAAAGGTGGATTTACTCTGAGTAAAAGCAGCTACAAAAACGTGTGCAGTTTTTTTCTTTTTCCTCAAAAGTATCTACTTCTATTTTGAATGTTAATAAGTTTTTATTCTTTAATTGCATAGATGGGCGAACGAGCTCACAGCCCACCTGGTGTTAAGTGGTTACTGGAGCCCATAGACATCTACAACGTAAATGCGTCACCCACCTTGAGATATGAGTTCTAAGGTTTCAGTATAGTTACAACGGTTGTTCCGCCCTTCAAACCGAAACGCATTGCTGCTTCACAGCAGAAACAGACAGGGCGGTGGTATCTACCCGCGCGGACTCACAAGTGGTCTTACCACCAGTAATTACGCAAATTATAATTATGCGGGTTGTGATTTTTATTACACGATGTTATTCCTCCACAGTGGAAGTCAATCGTGAATATTAGTTAAGTACGTATTTCATTAGAAAAATTGGTACCCGCCTGCAGGATTCGAACACCGTTGCATCGCTAGATACGAATGCACCGGACGTATTATCCTTTAGGTCACGACGACTTCAAAAGTAACGAATAACCAGTCGCTCTGTTCCCGCAGAGAGTTGGTGAGCGCCATCTCGTGTGTGAGTGCGGAGGCGGTGCAGGGCGCGGCGCGGCGCTGGCTGCCGGCGCTCTTCGACTTGTCTCAGTCCACCGTGTGCGTCGTCTGCCATCCCTCCAAGGTCAATGAAATACAGGCCAGCTTCGAAAAGTGAGAAATTCTGTTTTACTTATAGTCCATGTTATCAGTATTGTAATGTGATTCGGTGTGACGCCACTTCGATAAAGTAACTACATTCCCGATCCTGCGGAGAGAATGGAAAGCAGTCGACGTCGCCCCAAACACGTCATTTCGGATCCTCCCGATCCACTAACGGTGCTTTTAGGTCCCTCAAGCACCGGTCATCGTTCTCGTCGAACCCGTCGCCTGCGACGAAGGGCTCGACCAGTAAATTAACCCTCAGACACAGCCCACTGAGTTTCTCGTCGGATCTTCTCAGTCGGGTCGGTAGAGTCTGCGAAGCACTACTCTTGCTAGGGTTCGTGTTAGCAACGTCGTCAGGTTTGAGCCCCGTGAGCTCACCTACTAGTTAAGGTTACGCTGAAATAGCCTCTCAGGCTCTCAGCTTAGGTAGGAAAAAATTAATGAACTGGAATTTGACTCAGTAAGTATCTACAGTCGGTATCATTGCGCCACTTTGAGATAGCGGTACGACATGAGAACTCTCTTGTCGTGGCCGCCGGTAATTACATACCCGATCCTGTGGACCGAATGGTAAACAGTCGACGTTGCCCTAAACACGTCATTACTGATCCTTCCGATCCATTAACGGTGCCCACACCTAAGTGCCTCAAGCACCGGTCATCGTCCTCGCCGAACCCGTCGCTTGCGACGAAAGGCTCGACGAGTGAATTAACCCATAGACACAGCCCACTGAGTTCCTCGCCGAATCTTCTCAGAGGGTCGCGGCAGGCGGCACGACATGGAGTTTGACTCAGAAATAGTCTCTCAAGGCTCTAAGCTTAGGTAGAAAAAAAAAGGTATGACCTACCGTTCGCCTTACACGAGAATGGTGAGCTGGATTTGCAAAATAAGATGAACGGGAAAGATGTTTAGTGTGGATTCAGAGGATCACAAACTGATAAGTTTGCTCTTCATCAGTGGATACACGTATGCGACCCCGGACCCCTAACAACTTTGTTGACTTCACTTATCTTACCTGTCGAATTACTATTAGATCTTCTTGTCAACTACGATATCCCTCTCAAATTCTTTCTGCCCCGCGTATTGCACCTACATAGGTAGGTACGATTAGCATTCTTCTTCATTCTTTCGTACTCTCTTCAATATTTATTCGTATATACAACGAATACTATAAAACAAAATATTTGTATACTCTAAATATCTATAACTTTAATGTAAGTTACATACAATATTTTAGATCATAATGTTCGTTTTCAAAATCGAATACAATTTTATTTTTCAGGTTGGATGTCAAATTAGAAGCTTTTGACTCGATCGAAGCTACGCATCTCAACAAATAAATATTATGTCGATTGAGTTTAGCTATAAAACTTGTGAATATTTTATTGTTGAAATATGCCTTGATAACTAATGTCAATGAAATTCGCTAAAAGCTACATTGTTTGTGAACCATGGTTAAAATGTTTAATAAATAAATTTATTTTATTATCCCTTCTTTCATTCTCAAAGTATTGTGCCAATTTATTATAGGATGTTTATCAGCAATAATGTTATTTTGGTAAAATATAAACAAATAAAAGCCCTTTAAAATGCGATAGTAATTATTTTAATCACCGTTCATATCTTAAAGCTATTATGTATTTCTATACAAAAAATATAACTTAATTATAATCAGATTATTAGTGAACATTATCATAAATCATCTCACAACCGCTGCAACATCCCCAATGAACCATAGAATATCATGTCATATATTTAACTCTCACCTTCTAAGGCCGTTTCCAGACGTGTGTATCCAATGTAAGTGTTTTTGTTATTGTGCGCGCGGAACTAGTTGGCCGCGCCTTAGGTATGTGAGCGGTGGGGGCGCTTGCTGTCATTACTGGTATGAGATTTGATATTATGATGCACGAAGTCATTATAAATTTACAAGACGGGTTCTGAATCAAGTTGAGAGAGTTCAGAATTAAGTGATTCAGAGGATAAGTCTGAATAATTTCATACAAGTATATATTAATTAAATAATTTCATAATATATCATTAAAATATGTCAGAATAATTACATATACTTAATTTGTTTTTGATTTATTTTACTATTAATTACACTATACATAATTAGATAGGTATAATATAAACTTCTAAAAGTTAAATGGTTTTTTATTTATTTATTATTTTATTTAATCATCACTGTCTTAATCTCATGTACGTTACGAGCAGTACGCAACCCGCCCCCTCACCCCTGTCGCCACCTAAGGCGCCGCCAACTAATTCCGCGCGCACTCTAAATTACTACAATAACGACTGTTGCAGTAGAAATATTAGCAAGTGCGACCCTCAGTGTACGAAATGAATGGTGATACGATAAATAACAACGGATCTAGACCAAAAATTGCCTATTATCGTTGGTTTTTTGGCATCTTCACACTTCAAACTTTACACACACATGCCTGGGTCCGGCGTAACAGAAGCAACTGCTAACAAAATGTAATGAAAACAGTTCCCAACGCGCTCAGTACACAACAATAACAATTCTTCAAAAAATTGAGCTTTCCACTACGTTCTACATCTACATTAAACACCAGCAACACTAACTAAAAAGGTCTTCTTCTAATCTTTAAAATATAACATTTGGTATTACATATTTTTAAAGAATAATTTTGAATACTGAAGCATTAATTTTTCTTGAGACGAAATGTTTGGTTAAAAACATAAAAATTGGCCATAATAGTGTCGTTTCTGTTACATGCATAGGCCATTCAACCGTACCCCCATCTAAGTGCGAACTAACAATAAAAACTAATCATAAATTACTCATCTAATAAAAAACCTTACATTGTACACGCAAAGACGTATTTACATATAACTTATACGTTTAATAGAAAGTAGAGAAAAATATGGATATTTTTTTAATAAAATTTATTCTGGATTTGCATATGTGATATGCACGTCTACAAACAGAGGGAGCACCAAAATCTATCTATGCACTCTTAAAAGTGTAGAAACATGAAAATATAACAATTTACCTTTAAACCCTACTAATTTTCTTTTTGTGTTCATATTAATAGAAGTTATTAAAAAGTAAAAATTCAATGAAAGATTTGGTAAATGTTAACAACATCATTCCACTATATTCTACTAATTAATTATATTAATCTTCTATTGAAATCTACATTCTAATAATATGATTTCGTTTAAATGAAAGATTAATAATAATTGCGTTTAATAATAAAAGAGGCGGCCCCGTTTACATTATCTAGCGATACTTTCTCAGCACTTTATGTTATTAGCGTCCTATAAGTTTTTTTTTTTTTTTATAGCCAATTGCTTCCCAAGATTCCTCAATGTCTCGATTCCTCAATATGAAACTTAGATCGGAACAATCGTATTCTAAATACGAACGACTCGTCCAGTATATTAATTCTCATATATCCAAAATGAAAGGGGGGGAGGGGGCATTATCACAAATACAATATTAACTAACGTACACAATTCGTACGTATAAACATATTATCGCACATCATCGCTACATATAGGCAGACGAAACGAGGTTCGCTTACCGAATACAAGTTATATATCTTTTGAATGTCATACTGCTATAATCGATAAATAAAAGTTTGTCTTGAACGTAAGCAACGCCAGCAATAATTAATTGACAAAACTTAATTGAAAATAATATATCGCTCCTTTAGAATTATACAGACCCAACCCAAAAAATGTGTATTTTACAAAGAGATCTAATAAAGTTCTCAAACCGAAAATGCGTAGAGGAAGGGAACGGAGTAAAAGAGATCGATGAATAAGTTTGTCCCTTTATAAGATACTTTTGATCGTTTGATTAGTAAGAATCGCTGAAAAGATCTCCACTTCGATAAAGCGGCAGGACACGAGAACCCTCTCATCGTGGCCGTCGGTAACTACATTCCCGATCCTGCAGAAAGAATGGAAAGCAGTCGACGTCGCCCAAAACACGTCATTTCGGATCCTCCCGATCCACTAACGGTGCTTTTAGGTACCGTAAAATGGGGCGATTAGGGACAAATTCCAACTTTATGAGCAATTTTAAGGTAGTCGTTGATGTATATAATGCTATATCAGGATTAAAATTATTGAGTATTGGGGGCATCTTTGTTGTCTAATTTAAAATTATGCAACTAGCATTCCAGTTTAAGCAAAAAATGCAAAAATAGGTGTAATCCCTATTTACCCGAAAATTGCGGTTAATTGGGACGAAATGAGAAATTTGCTAGGGTTGGCACTACTTTTATTTTTATATATAGTTTTAATTTATTTATTTATTTAGTTGTACCAACAAAGTGATCATCAATAAAAAAAATTGAAAAACTGACAAAAGTACATGGCAGACATCACCTCAATTATAGGTGCAATCGACAGTGCTGATATTTTTATCTGGGTTAAGAGATTAGGCGTGTCGGTTATTCCATGGATTAATCAGATGAATACCCCCACTCTGAACAAATATTAAATATTTTANCTGATATTTCTATCTGGGTTAAGAGATTAGGTGTGTCGGTTATTCCATGGATTAATCAGATGAATACCCCCCCTCTGAACAAATATTAAATATTTTATTATGTATTACTTAGACATTTTTGTCCACCTTGAGATTTCATTGATCTTGTTACATGTCTCTGCAAAATCGACTTACTTATATTAAATTGCTTATCTATTTCAACTAAAGACTTATTCCCAATTTTGCTTCGAATAAACCAGATTTTTACCAACAAATTTAAAAAATATTGTTATAACTACATAGACAACCCTACAAAGCTGTACCTATTTATACTTAGGTCGTTTCCATTTCACGTATTCTCATCCCAATTGACCCCTTTTTCGTTGTTATTTGTACCTAAGACGTCCCAAATACCCCCAAAAACAACAGACTTTTACATGTATTTTTATTTAATCAAATACATTAAAACCAATAACAACTGAGACTTACTTTTAATATATATGCTGGTTCAAACACTAAATAACGTTTATAAATCATAGTCGTCTTCTGTTATTATCAAATAAATAAAAGAGAGCAAATTTTCTAGCACTAAAATAATTACCACCACAGGAAGTTAATTTGAATCGCGATTTTTTATAAGTTAGCAGCTATTATCATGCATATTCAGAGTTGTTTTGTGAACTTTCAACATTCTACTATTAAACTACAAAAAATGGAAGATTTTGCAACGAATATAAAACTTATATTGAGCGTCGAAAGATTTTGCCGGTTTTTTCCCGATTCGCCTCTCAATCCCTAATCGCCCCATTTTACCGGTACCTCAAGCACCGGTCACCGTTCTCATCGAACCCGTCGCTTGCGACGAAGGGCTCGACGAGTAAATAAACCCATAGACACAGCCCACTCAGTTTCTCGCCAAATCTTTTCAGTGAGTCACGTTTCCGATCCAGTGGTAGATTCTGCCAAGCACGGCTCTTGCTAGGGTTCGTGTTAGCAACGTCGTCAGGTTTGAGCCTCGTGAGCTCACCTAGTTAAGGTTACGCTGAAATAGCCTCTCAAGGCTCTCAACTTAGGTAGGAAAAAAAAGGGTGAAATCCAAAAAAATTCGAAATGGGTCTCTCTCTAATTATGCTAAAAGTGCGATATCAAAATCATAAAAAATTAGCTTATAAGTTTTTTTTTTTTTACTGTTGCTGTATAGAATTTACATGTTGACGTTGGCATGTCGACATTCAAAAGTTGAATAAGTCCCCCTACATGATGTTGGTGTCGATGGGCGGCGCGTGGTTGCAGAGCGCGTCGCGGATGTACGAGCTCACGCTGCCCTCGGCCACGAGGTGGAACAGGTAGAGGTGCTCGAAGCTCTTGAGCGAGATGGAGCGCAGCGCCGGCAGCCGCAGCAGCAGCGCCGCGAACCGACCCTCCTCCCCGCCGCGCGAGCGCCGGCAGTACTCGTCCAGGCATAAGAACATCTGCGCGGAACCACGCGGTCACTTCATATCATTTTTTTTAAGGGATTTTATGACCTGGTAACTAAGACCTTTAAGTCATTTTGAAGTCGTCGTGACCGAGGGGATAAGACGTCCAGTGCATTCGTGTTGAAGGATGCACTGTAATGGCTTGGTTAATCTAATAAAATTTTGTGTAAGCTTTCACACAGTTCACCCCAAAATCAGTGAACTCTAATTAGTTTGGCTTAAATGACAAATGAAGAAATAAAAAGCCCTACAAAACGCCCTAATGTATGATTAATCAAGTCAGTAAAATAAATAATCTAATGTACCTTTTCTCGAAGAACGTCCACTTCTTGTTTATTCTTCAATCCCTTTACGTCTGAAAATGATAAAATAAAATATTGTAATGTTTATAAATATTTAAGCATCTTCTACGCTATTCAATAAAGTACATCAAATAATTAAAAGAAAAACCATTTAGAAAAAATTCTAAATAGGTAACACAAGTTCTAGAGCAAGTAACCAGCGTGGGTCGGTATCATGCATTTCTCCACTTTATTTTATTATTTATATTTGGATCATTTTAAGGTGGGCTTGCACTGCATCTCCTGACATAATTATTCTAACTAGATAACTAGAAAAAATCTAAATTTGACAGCTGAAGCTGCTCTGTAGATTATGCGTTATGGATATCGAAAAGAAAAAAACTTTGAGAGAAGAACAAAAATAAAGAGGTGAAATTTAAATATCTTTAAATACCTATACTGACTTCAGTTCATGAGGCCAGCCATCATCATCATCATCATCATCATCATCATCATCATCATCATCATCATCATCATCATCATCATCATCATCATCATCATCATCATCATCATCATCATCATCATCATCAGCCTTTATCTGCCCACTGCTGGACATAGGGTCTGAGGCCAGCCGAGTGATCAAAATTAATATGAAGTGGAAGTTATCACGTGACTTCCGTGTTTAAATAGAGTATTATTGTCAGGGCAGGGACTGTTGTCAGTGTACAGTATTGTATTGTGTAGATAATATTGTCAGGGTTTGTTAATTTCTTTGTTAGACCAACATTCGAAAATGATCGAACCGATTTGTATGTATAAGGTGTCGTTACAATCCTTATACCGAATGACGGTGGATTTTATAAAATAGTAATAGTATTGTTACGTCGGTAAGAGCAATGCCATCTATCGTCGAATAGCAAAAACGAACATCAAAACTAATAATGTCGAGAAGAACAGCGCCATCTATTATCAAACCGCGGAAACACATGTTGAAACTACTTGACTTGAAGGAATTTTCACGATAATCCTAGGGGTATCGTATCGAGTATAAAAGCGTTGCAGAGATGACCCGAAGGCAGTTAGTAAGCGGTTCTAGTCAAAGCGAAGCAGCGGAATAAATGAATTACGAATTGTAAAGTGCTCTGTAAGTGTTCGAAGTGTTAAATACAGTTTTACTTTGTACTTTAGTAGAATTTTTATTTATCCCGAACCCCAGAGCGTAAAAGTGTTTATTATTTAACCTGTAGACTGTCTTATATTATAGGGAATAACAGTCCACTTTGCCATTGATTAACTATATAGCGGAAGATACTAGCCGAGAAAGTTGAACTTTAGCAATAGCTCACAGTCGGTACTGCATTTTTTTTTTGGTCAGGAGGAAATCGCCGGACTCCCACCCTCCACTGGGAATGGCAGGCGGGCTATGTCGGAGTCGAACCAACTAAAACCTTCTGTCGCTCAACAAACCACGTCCGAGCCTCTCACGAGACAGAACTCAGGAAAAGGCAAAGGGGGAGGAGAGTGAAGCGTTTAGTGCAGAGCACACATCTCTCCCATCACCCTCCCCCTAGCCCAGCGGTCGGGGCTTTTAATTATTACCCCAAAATATTTTAGTGTAAGTTGATATTACCCTATGGCGAATCCCAAAAAAAAAAACGAAATCGCTTATTTTTAGCATCTTTCATATTATAGGCCCCATGATAATTTTGAAAAACAAATATTATTTATTCGTTACGTTTCATTTCGTTTCATCGAGTTTGAAATCACAACGATTCTAAAGAAGTTTCACTTCAATATATACTTTTTACTCATAAAAGTTTCATTTTTACCCCCCAAATTTTCATATTACCCCATTTGGGGTAATTTACCCCGGTTCCCCGACCGCTGCCTTAGTCGGTACTGCATACTATTGAAGAGAGAGAGAGACAAATAGCTGTGTGTTATTGCAACTGACCAGGATTGAGGAGTATGATGGCCTTGAGCGCGACGTACTCGGCCTGGTCCATGCGGAGGGAGCGCATCTTGAGCGACAGCTCGGAGAGCACGCGGTCGAAGATCTGCCCCACGCCGGCCTGCAGCGCGGAGTTGCGGTGCAGCGTCATGCCTGGAAACGAAACGACCACACCCTTCAGTACCGCCTGTATGATATACACTAGGTCTGATGTTGAAAAAATATTCTTTCCCTCGATATGTATGTATATATAAGATTATCTATTATATTTCTTCTTAAAGCAAATCACTATGTGATTCATCTAGAACAGAGTTTTATTTATTAAATACAGATATATTTTACTAAACAAATATCAACTAATGAAATAACTACTAACCTAAAACATAGAATCGACAATTAAATGTTCATGGTTTACTATTCAAGTCTTGTATTCAAATTTGAATCGTCCTTTTCACTTTTATAATAAAGTTTGAAGGGTGGGGTAGCCGTTGTAACTATACTGAGACTTTAGAACTTGTATCTCAAGGTGGGTGGCGCGTCTACGTTGTAGATGTCTATGGGCTCCAGTAACCACTTAACATCAGGTGGGCTGTGAGCTCGTCCACCCATCTGAGCAATAAAAAAAAACCAGAGTGTTAATGAATTTTAATTATATATTTTTATTCCGATCGGGACACGAAAAACAAGTTTATTTTTTTGTCCCACTTGTAGTTCCCTCTTATGGTTGAATGCTGATCTGATACATACCCAAATATTAATGACTCTGTCAACGTCAACGTCAACGTCAACACAAAGCTTACATATATAATATATGTCTTTCTTAATGTATGTAACTAAATTATAAACGTCTTACGTTTTCAGAGTTACATCGTGTCTGTCTGCCGTCGCGTCCGACAACTACCCTTTAAAGTCGTCGTGGCCTAAAGGATAAGACGTCCGGTGCATTCGTATCTAACGATGCATCGGTGTTCGAATCCCGCAGGCGGGTACCAATTTCTCTAATGAAATACGTACTTAACAAATGTTCACGATTGACTTCCACGGTGAAGGAATAACATCGTGTAATAAAAATCAAACCCGCAAAATTTATAATTTGCGTAAGTACTGGTGGTAGGACCACTTGTGAGTCCGTACGGGTAGGTACCACCACCCCGCCTATTTCTGCGTGAAGCAGTAATACGTTTCGGTTTGAAGGTTGGGGCAGCCGTTGTAACTATACTGAGACCTTAGAACTTATATCTCAAGGTGGGTGGCAAATTTACATTGCAGATGTCTATGGGTTCCAGTAGCCACTTAACATCGGGTGGACTGTGAGTTCGTCCACCCATCTAAGCAATAAAAAATAAAAACCTCTTATCACTTAAAAAATAAAACTATGTGTTCCGCATTCATTCGCTGTCTTTCTTACTTCCTAACACAACACCTGTCTCTCTCACTCAGTCGCGCTCCATATCTGCCATTCATCCATACCGTTCCGTTCCTACATATTATTATATACATTTCTTTCTAATAAAAGTGTAGATATAAAATATTTTGTTACTTAGTGACAAAATCCTATTCTTGATTTCATATTTTTTAAAATTACTCATTGTATTTTTACTTTTCTAATTGCAAGAGGTCAACTATTGCACTGTCGATTGCACCTATAATTGAGGTTACATCTGTCATGTACTTAATGTCAATTTGTTAATGTTTTGTATTGATTATCACTTTGTTGGTGGAACTAAATCAATAAATAAATAAAAAATATTGCAGCTTGTATTGTAATATCTAGACATAGACCGTTCTGTCTCATTCTATTGTTCAAATTGTGACATATTTTAGTACATCAGAAATACTAATGGCATTAGCAGTAACGTCTGTGAAGTTCTGTGGGTACTACTTTACTAATTAATTTTATATAATGATATATTAAAAGAGTATAAATCTAATAGAAAAAAATAACCTTTATTTCATATATATTTGAATTTGATACTTAGCGAGGTTGGCGCTAGTATAAAATATTGTAAAGTATAGTCTATGTACTGAAGTTTCAATAGTGGGCTAACCTTTGTCACGCAATTAGCAATTTTATGTGTCGTGTTGGCTTTGTTTCCGGAATCAAAAATAGTAATTAAATAATTTAGCGGCTTTGTAGATTTGTATTAGTCTCTGATGTCTGAGACAATTGTGCAGTGTAAGATAGGGATTATTTAAATTCATATTATGGTAAATATGGTAGTTTCGACAATTGTTGTTTTTTGTATTGTAGGTTATCAATTATGTGTAATTTTCAGATGCCTGATGAAGGTCTAATAAAAGACCGAAACGTTGCTAAAATAATAATGTAATTTGTTATGATAGTCCTATCTTGTCCACATTCCTGAGATACACAAAAAATATTTTATAATAATTATGGACGACAATATTGATAATACTACTTTACTAATTTTTAACATGAAGCAATGATGAGTATTATTGAAATTGATATTACGACGTTTATGAGTTTCGGTAGCCACTAAGCATCAGTCGGGACGTGAGCTCGTCTCGTCCGTCTAGAATAAGTGATTAATATTTATACATGTAAAAGTATCACCTTATCACATTCTGTAACGAATATTTCAACTTTCTACGTTCGATAAGTGCATTATTTAACATTGACATTTAACCCACAAGTTAATCAGTGCTGATAACACAAGACTTCACATTCTTAATATGAAAAATGAATATTATAAAAAATTTAACATAACCTTTAATTATTATGACAATTAAATTAGAATCTTTTAACGTATCTTCAATAAACACATTATGTTTACGCATTTCGTGTATTCAAACAAATATGTCTGTAGTGATTTTTTTCGTTTTTTTAAGTTCATATCGAGGGGTGAAAGCTAATTGGTTTAAGCGACATTTATCTTTGTAATTAAAGGTGTGTTTTATTTGGCATCGGTAACAATAGTTCGATGTTTGTAATTTAACTTTAATTAAGTTTACCCCCTACCAATAAGCTGAAGTAGTTATTTTGTTATGATTTTATTTCCAAATTTTATACTTTAAATGGCACTCCTGTTAAATTGCAAAAATGTCGCTTAAATCAAGCACATACAGCCTTTCACCTCTCGATAAAATCTTTGTTTTTTTAATTGAAGCTCATCAAAGTTCCTAAATAAATAAATAAAAAGTATCGATTGTTTAGATACCAGTTTTTCGTGGATCCCACGTTCCCAAATGGATGTAAATATCAACAATGCCACATGTCTTCGATTTCGAGAACATTTAATCGTGTAATCATGTCTTTAAAAAAAGTAAACATAATCATAATTATATTATATACCTGGCATTAAACAAATGAGTTGAGGCGGCGCTGTATTCCGCGAGTCTACGTTCTCTCTTTCATCATTCAGGAACTGAAAAACATTAAGACAGAAATATAAGAAGTTGAAATAAAAAAATAATTAAATCTAATATATTAAAACTGTTGTAGGTCTTGTAAAGTGTAAGGTCACACACATATGCTTAATAACGTACGTGGCGTGTTACCTGGCTACGTAATGCAAGGTGTCATCTTCACCATTCCACGCTTGTGGGAAAAGGATATTGGGACGACAGTCCAGTTGTAACGGTCATACAGCGAACACAGTTCCATTTAGATAGCTATAATAAAACTGCATGTACCTATTGTATTTTCCGTAAATATACAAGTGTGTGAGTTAATAACGACTTTCATTTACAACAACTGGGCTCATCCTAAACTGGTGATCCCGACGTGATCTGGGCTTATCCTAAATAAAGTAATGCTAGTTATAGAATTCTGTCTAGAATCTATACTAACATATAAATCTACAGTCGTTTTTACGGATGTTCCGTTATAACTACTGAACCATGCATCCGATTGACTTGAAACTTGGTATCCATGTAGAAAACACATGTACTTAATGGATAGGCTAATATTTATATGAGTGTTGGACTCCCTAATAATAATGACAATAAATAATAATGTTAATTTTAAATGCACAGCGAAGCAGGCGAGTACGGCTAGTAAATATATAAAAGTTTTCATGAATTTCAGTGTCTATTTTAGAGTTACGAGTAATAAGAGCATAAGTTCTTATTATTATTTTATTTAATGTTTAGGTGTGCCCTCTATGCGTTCCCATACTATTCGGACGATTACAGCCCACTGAGTTTTTCGCCGGATCTTTTCAGTGGGTTGCGTTTCCGACCCAGTCCTTGCTTCTTGCTAAGGTTAGTGATAGCAATGTTATCAGATTTGAGCCCCATGAGCTCACCTACTTGTTAAGGTTACGTTGAAATGGTCTCTCATCCATTAGCTTAGGTAGGAAAAATATAAAAAAAAATATGGGCGATTGAGTTGAAAATTTGTACAGTAATCGTTCGCACTTCCGGAATAGCTTTTCTCGTGGTACCATCAACACAAGATAGATGGCGTGCGAGTATTTTTTAAGATTTAGCGTTAGTCGCAGCTTAATATGGTCAGGTCTTACAATTTAATAAGTATGTGTAATCTAGGCATAATTACGTGCTTTCTTCGTTAATAGAATTTGTAACGGGTTGGAAGTTTTTGGCGTAACCGTGTTGAGTAATATTATAGTAATCTAGTGCTAATTCCGATGCAAATGGATGTATTACCACTAATACGTTAGTATTATTGTACATTCGTATTCGTATTCGTATTATTATTTGTCCAGTAGTATTTTATTATTTTATTATTACCAGAGGATTATTAAAGATTACTGTTTAATAAAACATTCTTTTAATCAAACAAAACTTGGTCAATACGGAAAAAGAAGAAGAGATAAAATCAGCAAATATCAACTGTCAAATTAACCGAATCTTAAGAACTTGAACCTTAAGTGAGCCCTGACAATGGGTTTGTAAGCAGCCGATTGCCATACCTCAAATTAGATTAATTAATTAAGTCAATTACAAAAAATAAAATAGGTTTTATCTGTTCCTTTATTATTATTATTAGTGATATATCCAGATGAACTTAATAAGCTATCTTAACTAATTAATATAGAGGGGCGAAAGGCTGCACAGAAGAGCCATTTAAAGTTTAAAAATTTTGAAAAATATCCTGACAAAAAAAACATCTTCAACTATTTGAATGGAGTAAACTCAATGAGTTCAATTAAGAAAATCGAACTATTGACGCTAATACCAAATACAATCCACATTTAGTTACAAAGATAAATGTCATATACTATGCGAAACGTAACTTAAACTAAAATAGCCTTTCAGACCTCAATTATGACGATAGGTTAGAAGTGAGAGTCTTAGGAATATAACCAGGGATATTGCAACCATGGTAGTGTAAGAAGTAGTGGCAGTAAGAGCTCCCAGTTCCCTGGATTGTATTATCTTCTCGTTTTATCTTCCCTGTTGCTAGTTTACAATAATATTGTATCTAGTCTTCACCCAGTGATCTAAATTCAAGCATGATCACTAACTCATCAAGACTTTAATTATTTTATGTATTATTTTAATGTAATTTTTTTTTCGTGGGGATTAGAATTTCTATATTATAAATATCTAAACCACGATAAAAATTATTAAATAGAAATAAGGAATAGGTCAACGAACCGAGAAGAAACATGTATTTTCTTGTTTTTACTTTTCATATTTGATATAATACATATTTTATGTTATATAATTTCATATTTAATGTAATTAAATATGGAATGGGTCTTTTTTTTTTTGAGCCGATACTAATGGTGGCTTATTAGCATAAGCATATTCAATGACGTTCAAATTAAAATAAATAGGTAATATAAAGATTTGAATTTAAATAAACACGACTAAAATCCTCTCACCTAACTTACACCATGTTTATTAATAACAAGGTGACCCGTGTCCTTAGCCCTTATCCTTAATAATAAATAAAATAAAAGGTGAGAGGTTTGTGCATCATTGCCAATCTCGTGTTCTTGCATAAAGTGTTAAAAAAATTAAAATAATTAATTACGCAGTCCATTTTTAAACTAGTATATTATCAAACAGAAATAACTAGATTATTTTCAAATTAATACACTAAATATTTTTTTTTTATATTGCCAACAGTATCCTGTAATTTCGTGCGAATTCCAAAAGTGGATTTTTGAAGCAATACTCGAAAAGAGCATAGCGGTATCACACTTAGAAACTCGCCAGTATGTTTTCATTTTCTGAAAGTCCGTAGTGGATGGAAATTTTGTGGCGAGCGGAAAAAAACTTAGCTAGATTGAAACATCACGAATGTTTATCGATATTGGAGTGCTTGGTTCTAATGTTACATAGATATCACGATCGTTTTAAAGGAAACATTTATATGAATGCACCAAATTATATTTTATACTTTAGACTTCTAGGGCAATGTCAATCTAATATATAAAATTAAGTACAGACCAAATAATTTAATTCGTGTATATACGAATGATGAGGAGAGTTGAAAACCGGGCTCAGTGGTGTGGATTAGGAGAGGCCTATGTCCACCAGTGGACGACTGTGGGCTGATGTTTTTTTTTGGTTTGACGAGCTCACAGCCCACCTGGTGTTAAGTGGTTACTGGAGCCCATAGACATCTACAACGCAAATGCGCCACCCACCTTGAGACATAAGTTCTAAGGTCTCAGTATAGTTACAACGGCTGCCCCACCCTTCAAACCGAAACGCATCACTGCTTCACGGCAGAAATAGGTAGGGCGGTGGTACCTACCCGGGCGGACTCACAAGAGGTCCTACCACCATGATGATGATGATGATGATGATATACGAACCTCCATAGACCGCCATGCGATAGCGAACAGCAGCAGTTCGTTCCAGGAGCCCTTGATTAGAAGGATCTGATCGTCGATTTCTAGCTGCCCGAAGTGTGGAATGTCACGCGCCCAAACAATGAGAGCGGCTATCTGTTTGTTGCCTGAAAACATTCGTAGGTTTCGTCTTAATTTCAACTCAAATAAGTCGTGTTCGACGCGAATTAATCGTGGAAAATCATGTTTCTACTATTTTATTTGTTCGGGACCACTATATTGACATTCCTTAACCGTGCGTGCGAAGCCCAACGAAGCAGCTAGTATTTTTTTTTATTGCCCTTGTAGGCATACGAGCATAGGGCCCACCTGATGGTGAGTGGTTACCGTCGCCCATGGACTTCAGCAATGCCAGGGGCAGAGCCAAGCCGCTGCCTACCGCTTAATACTCTCCACAAGCCTCGTTTGAAGAAGGACATGTATATCTATACATGTATATCATGTAGTATATCTATACTAATATTATAAAGCTGAAGAGTTTGTTTGTTTGAACGCGCTAATCTCTGGAACTACTGGTCCGATTTCTTCAGTGTTCTTCTTTTCAGTGTTAGATAGCCCATTTATTGAGGAAGGCTATAGGCTATATAACATAATAAAACACGCTAAGGACCAATACAAGCGGAGCATCAATAAAGAATGTTTCAAAATCGGATTTTTTCCCTTTTGAGAGCTTCCGCTGCGTGCGCTGTAGAAACGGTTAAAATTTCGCTAAAATAATTTAGGACAAAATTGTTTCCCTTTAAAAGATCTAAAAAAAAAACCGCGACAGCATATGTCTATATGTTAAGGTTGGCTCACTATAACGTTTTTTATGCTAACCAAATTTGTTCTAAAATAAAGCATTATTTGTGAACTATTCCACGCGGACGAAGTCGCGGGCAAAAGCTAGTTTTATTTAAGCCTAGGCCTGTGATAAAAAACTAGATTCATCCTACAGTTTAGCCAAATATCCACCCATGTCCACCCCATGTCGCGATTTGGTCTGTTAATAATAAATAATATTGAATAGGTATGTACTTTTTTTTAACATTGTTTAGTATACGTATCATGGATCGAAATGGCATGCGTGCTGACAAAAAACACAGTCTGCCACTAATACTGCAAAAAGAATCATAAGCCGTAGGGTCAACTACTGCCACTGTCAAAGTCCATATGCTTGGTAACCCCTCAACATCAAGTGTCCAGTATCTGCCTTTCAAAGCAAATGAACCCTATCCATTTTCAAATGTACAAATTGAACGAAGCAGTATACGAGTTATCGATTTTAAAACACTTTATTCTATTAATACAACCACCATTGGAGGGGACATATCGATTTTCTTGTTCAAAGGAAAACTGAATTTATAATATTAATGTATTCTACACAATAGTATGTAGCTAAATTCCGACATCGATTTTTATTTTGTACTCGCAATCGAGTCTCGCGAGCTGGTAAGTACATGGTTTAATAACGTACAGAGTGCCACATAAATAATTGTTTCGTATTATTGCGATTAAGTTATTAGGTCAAATAAGTAGGCAATCTAAATAGAATCTTAATGTATAAAGAATAAGGTAATGCTACGATCTTTTCAAAGGCTGATCCGGGGGGGGGGGGGGTTAATGGGGTCATGACCCCCCCCCCCTGAGCTGCTTCCAAGACTTAGGTGAACCACTAATTGAACATAATGATTTTATTTATATATTTTGTCACCATACAGATTTTATGTAACTACATACCTTCAATATTTAATTAATTTAATGTAATATAATAACTTTGTATGATGGCGGAATGAACGCATCGAAAATTTGACTATGTGACCCCCCCCTGGCGCCAAAGCTGGATCCGCCCTTGGATCTTTTACACAACTTTTATTATATTCGATTACCCACAAAGTACTGATGCAGAAAATATTTATGGATTGCATCCTTCTCGTTTATAATACTCAGAAATTCAATAAGGAAAAAAAATCCACGAGGATACTTAATGTATTACACAAAAAAACAATACAAGAAGGACATGTCTCAACCGAATGATTCACAACGACAGATATGTTATCTGTAATAAAAACATATTTTGGTAGTGAGATAAAAGCATTTCAATATTTTATGATAAAAAAAAAACTTTCTGTTTACTTTCACCAATTTCTGCAGCGCCTTTTTTTTCGGGCCGAGGGTCGAACCTCCTACTAGGTCCCTGCTTCTAGGGGGCGCGCGGGGTATGTGGGCTGATCAACGACTGCGAACCGCAAGCCCAAGAATGTTTTTAGGAGCCTACCCACTAAACGACTCCCCTGCACTCTTCCCCCAAGCGTCCTCTCCGAGGTCAGAACCCGGATAAGGTAAGGGGGTTACCGCGGCCAACACTTCAACCAGACAGCGCAGTTCACCCCAAGGACGCCCGGTCGACGGAGCCTTCGAGGCAAATCGAAGGCTCTGAAAAACGTCAGCCGTCTCGGTGCGGCACCCCGTCGGGCCACCCAGACAGTGCCGCTGGTGTCCCGGAATACCCCGCTGACCCAGAACCAGCCTGCCGGGTCGGGACGCGATACACCGCCAACCGGTTGCTCTTTTTATTTCTCCTTGGCAAGGCGTTAGGGTGCTGGTAGCGCGCCGCGCAGCCTCAGCCCCCTCAAGTCGCCCCGTGACCTTCGCCGGGGGGACTGTCTCCTCCGGACCACGGCTCGACAGCGACGGATCGGTGCAGAAAGGAAAGAGCTCTCCCCATCTCGTCCCGCCGCCCGGCGCCGCCTCCTTCTGCGAGATGGTGGACTCACAGAAGGCGGTTTCGAATAAGTTGTGGTTTTAATTGTCTTCTTATTGTGTCGGTCCGTTCCACTTTTGTTAAGTCAAAGGAGAAACAAACACTTATTCGCATTTTAATATTATGAACAACGCAGGTTATATCAGAGTCACAATATATAAGACATGATTTACATTTATTTCATAAATTAACGATTTTCTATTATATGGTTGCATACCATGAGTGAATCCGAAACCCAGTCTGCGGGATGTTGGAGTAGCCCCTTAAGCTACCAACGAATAGGTGGGGGAAAAAATAAAAAATATCTTAAATTCTTGAAATTGAGAAATTAAATTGTAATACTTAGGTTCACTCGTAATAAATTCAAAAGCTAACTAAAATAATTGTTCTAGTTAAAATATAATGTCTCGTTTTAACTGTAATTAAATTTGCATATCCAAATACTTCTAAAGTTTGCTTTGAACGGCATGGGTAATTAAGAGTCTTAAAGAATTCATTGTTGAAATAGTTTATGCAAAATTAAATAACATCATATTAACAAGACCTTTTATGCTTATTTTACGAATAATATTGTGATAAGGTATACGCTTGTCAATACGTTACTTTGAGGGAGGAAAAACAAACTTTATATATATAGGACCGTGTTAAATAGTCACCCCCGTCCAAGGCATGTTCGTCTATAAAATAATAATAATAAAAAATCATGGTGTTATCCACATAAATGAGAAAAAAAAAATACTGAACCAATCGTTTTCAAATCTCTCTATACATATTTATCTCTCGAGGTCATGGAAAGATTTCTGCGTCTTTCTATTTGCTCAAAATTAATTGCACAAAGTTATGAAATACAATATCTGGCTACCCTTGCACAATAAAATTCAAGATTAACATTTAAATCTTTATTCAGCATGAAACTTTTCCACAACATTTTTATGAGTCCTTGTTTTAGATTTTGGACGAGCAAAAACTTTTATATATTCATGCATCATACGATTCGAATCGGCGCGGCGGCGTCGCGAATTTAAAGTATCTAAAAACTGTAATATTTAAAACGAATATCTTTCGGAACTAATTGGTAAGTGTTATCTTATACTTTTAAACGAGCAATTCTTCTATATATATATATATAATCTGAATCTCGGAAGCGGCTCCAACGATTTTCATAAAATTTAGTATACACAGGATTTCGGTGGGCGATAAATCGATCTAGCTACGATTTATTTTCAGAAAATATTGTTTTATTCGTGTTTTCAATAATCAACTTTATCGATAATCAACTTTATGACTCTTCCCGACATCTATTGGCGAATAATAATACAATTTTTCTTAATTGAAGGCAACTAACCCCTTTAAAGACACAACAAGATGGCGTTATCAAAAAAAAAAACGAGCGAAGCTCGGTCATCGTCTAGTAAAATACTTATATGAAAAAGATCACTTTTATTTTCTTGTAGACAATTTTATCGACAGAAGTATATAATATTTCAATGATTGATTTATTACAAAATTTGTTTTTTGAAACGATTACTCGTGGCCCGAGGGTCCGTCCAGTTTCATCAGCTCAGGTAAGCGAGCACAGGCTCAGTCAGAAGGGGTGGGATTTGCTAACAGCTACCCGAGCACGTCCGAAGGAGACCTAACAGCTCGAGGGCAGCTGCTTAGCGTAAGCATCTACTACTGGATCGGAATGGCGACCCGCTGAGAAGATCCGATGAGAAACTCAACGGGTTGATGTCATGGACTTAAGTTTTACGTACATTACTTTTTTCTGTAATTACTTATTTTACTTTTTTATTTAACATTACTTTCCAGTACGGTTACCAGGGTTCCAATGCCCAAGCGGCTAATAGTAGTGTTAGCGGATCGGGTGGATCTGTAAGGACTATTTATTAGAAAGATCAGGTACGCAATATATGTATATGTAGTTATTTCACCTTCTCTTATGTGGCAGCTCTATACGCATGCGGAATATTCTCCACAAAATCTCCGTCAATCAGAAAACATAAAAAATTGCGATCAATTTATTCATGACGTCGCAATATACAAAGCCGTCACCTTACACACAATGTACAGCTTAGTCACTTATACAATATGGTACTTTCTTTATATTACTGTTTCTGAGCAGACAAGACCACTGCCTACTTAATATTAAGTATTTACTGGAGCACAAGGACATTATAACGGGAAAACCGACCGCCAAGTTGAGATATGATGTAGATGTATGTCATAAGTAACATATCCCATCCTAAAATCACTTAACCTCCAAAGCGCGATGTCGACGCCAACGACTTATTAGCGTCGAAATTGGATAAAATGTTTGGTACCTATCTATTTATGCGAACTCATAATATTCCCTTCCACCGTTATCGAAAAGTATGTCGTCGTCATGAATACTAAACCAGTTTTCATATATGTATATGTATATAATTGTGGGTAAATTAAATTTTCGTCTAAACTGTATATGGCAATTGTATTTATTATTATTTTAGTTACCTAATATTTTTACAGAAAGGCTTTATTTTGAATAGAAAATAAATGCTACCTTGTTAAAAAGAAAGACCACGTTTAGATAATACGTAATAAGGCATTGTAATTTGGATGCCTAGACGGACAATCTTTTGCCTACTTATCCTAGTAACCTCGAAGGGTTATACCAGGTTCAACGAGCGTGTAGGCGAGCTCACGGGACTCGGCCCGGCGAATTTGCTAACACTACCCTAGCAAGAGCGGTGCTTCGCAGAATCTACCATCGCATCAGAATCTCGACCCACTGAGAATATCCGACGGGATGTCAGTAGACAGTCTGAGGTTTTTTTTTTTATAAATATAAATACATAAACAATCACGCCACGTTAACTGGTCCCGTGCTAAGTTCGTAAAGAACTTGTGTTACAAGTACCAGATAACGGAAATAAATATAATATTTTTATTATACACATACATATATTTAATATACACCCATAACCCTGGAAAGACATTTATATTTATCATACAAATATCTTCCCTTGGCGGGATTCGAACCCGCGACCCCCTTGTGTAGTGNTGGTCCCGTGCTAAGTTCGTAAAGAACTTGTGTTACAAGTACCAGATAACGGAAATAAATATAATATTTTTATTATACACATACATATATTTAATATACACCCATAACCCTGGAAAGACATTTATATTTATCATACAAATATCTTCCCTTGGCGGGATTCGAACCCGCGACCCCCTTGTGTAGTGACCATGTCACTTACCGCTACACCAGACGGCCGTTTGTTTTTTGAAAGACACTTTAGTATTTATAGTTGATCTAATCATTTAAATCGAAAACGAGACAGTAAACAAATCAACATAAACAAAACATCCAAGAAGGAAAGTCAAAGGAATATCCGACGTCAAATCACGAATAGCGTTCTAAATTCCAAAACGAACAAATTTTAATGAGTACCTAAAATGTTGACCGAATTGCTTCTGTACGTCGTAATACAGACAATAAACACAAAAAAACGTAACGCGTAAATAGGCAATGCATTCGGTCTAGGATACATGTCTTATGAAAGAGAACTGGTTTATTCACGTACTGTTTTTTTTTTTTTAAATTGAAATTCAACCAATTTTGTAACCAAAATCGATTATCAGCATATGGATATCAAAATTTAATGGGTACTAAAATCCAATATTCTGCGGTAGTTCGGTTTTATACGATAATATTTTTTTTATCAATGTCTCCTAGTTGTTGTATCTTAGGATAAAGAGCTTCCCGGGACCTGGGCGGGCCCCCGATGCGCACTCTGCGTGCCGTGGGTTCCGTCTGTGGGGGAGTTTTGCTGGACTTCCACCGGGCGCGTCCGTAGGTGGCGGATAACGGGCCTCTGGGAGCAGTCATACTCCCAGGGGTATCGCTCCTTCTCTCTCGTTGTGTTATGGCGGGAGAGATTGAGCGACGTGGACCAAAACCAGCAGGGGGNAGGCCGTTATTCTGAGGCTGCACCCGGAGGCTATCGAAAAGGGGCTCTCCTACCGGGAGGTGCTCGCCGAGGCGAGGGCCAGCATCGACGCCGGAGCCTTAGGGATCCCCATCGAGAAGGTCCGGTCAGCAATAACCGGAGCCAAAATACTCATAGTGAGCGGCGAGGACCAGATCGCGAAGGCCGACTTGCTGGCCGAAAAGCTCAAGGAGGTTCTCTCTTCCAAGAGAGTAACGGTGACAAGACCGATAGTGACCGCTGCAATCCGCATAAGCGGACTTGACGATTCGCTGACGGAGGAGGAGATATGCACCGAGATTGCGCGCATCGGCGAATGCTCCCTCGATGCAGTCAAGGCTGGCTCTATCAAGCCCGGATCCGGAGGAATGGGCCAGGTTCTCGTTCGTTGCCCGATAGCAGCGGCGAAGAAAATTGTTACAGTGACGAAGCTGCGCATCGGGTGGAGCGTTGTTCGCGTCCACCTGCTGGAGGCCCGGAGGCTACAATGCTTCCGCTGCCACGCGTTGGGCCATGTGGGTGCGCGGTGCCCGTCGTCGGTCGACCGCAGCCACGACTGCTACCGGTGCGGACAGACCGGCCACGTGGCATCCGGATGCACACTGGCACCGCGATGCGCCGTCTGCGCCTCCGCCGGGAAACCAGCGGACCACACTTCGGGGGGCAAGGCCTGTGCAAGGCCCCCGAGAAAACCGAGGAGAGAGGACGTCGCTGCACCCGCGGCCGCACCCGTTGCTGCAGACCGAAGTCAACTCGGCGAGACGACGACTCCGATGGACGTCCAGCCTCCGTCGGGCACAAGGAAGACCGGGGCTTTATGAAGAACCGGGCATGCCGATGAACCGAGGAGGAAGTCGTGAGGAGGAGGTCGTGGACCTCGGTTCGTAGGCAGTGAAGGCGGAGCGGGTGGTGCGGGCAGAAAGCCCCCACCCGGCTCCTGCAGGGGCCGTCGATTGCTGGGTGCGGGGGCGCCCGGTGCTCGGCACTAAGGTCCTGTGGGGTGGTGGTGCGCTGTGGCTCCGGTGCGCCCCTCACGAGTCGTGGAGATGAGAGGGGGAAGAAGTCCCCGGTGGCAGATCCCGCCCAACGTAACATTGGGGTGGGAGCCGGCGAAGGCGGGCCTATGGCGCGCACATGGCGGTACCTGGGTCCCCGCCCAGCCGGAGTGGAGGAGCTCGTTGGGGTTTAGTCGGTAGTCGTTAAGCTGGGCGGGTTTGGCGAGAGCTGAACTTAGCCCAGAGCGCCTTTCTAAAGGCGTAGTCTCCGTGGACCAATTGGTTGAGGGCGCGGACCTCGGTTCGCGACTTCTTCCTCTTTCTTCCACCGGAGGCGCGGAGTCCGACATAACCCGGTCCGACCCCCGTCGGCAGGGTATCCGTAAAGACTAGGATTCCCCATCGATACCAAAAAAAAAAAAAAAAAAGGATAAAGAGCTTTAAACAATTCACTTAATTAGATTTTCCGTCTCGAAAATATGTATTAAAATTACATTAAAACACTAGAAACAAAAGGACAAAGATAGATGTGAGTATTTGCAGTCATAAAATTTAAAGCTTACCAAATTTCAAATTAAAATAACGGTTTTTTGAAGTCATATTTCTATAATAATTCGTAGCGAGTTGAGCAGTTAATACGTCTAGCCAATCTAAATTGAACTACTTTATACAAGATAGTGAAGGTTTGTCATGAAAACTTACTTTTTTGCACACACCGCTTTTAACCTCAATTCGCATTATTTCGTAACTAGTTTGAAAAACTTGATACAACTTATTTACTTTAAATTACAACGAGGGGTGAAAGACTACGTGTATAAGCGACATCTATATATTAATACGTGAAGCAAAAACTTTGTATCCCTTTTAACGAAAATTGCGCGGACGGAGGAGTATGACATTTTCCACATTTATAGAGAATATAGAGAAGAAGTGCACAATGCTAATATTTTTTTTAAATAATGCATAAAAGATACATTAAATCAATAAAGAAAACATTACACACACTACATGCCATGTATTTGACGCACACACGCATGCATACTATTTATTGTCAAACTTTTGTTCTTGAAGTCTGTTGTCAAATTGAGATTAAATATTGTTTGTCTTTATTCATATTTTTTTATAGAGTAGCCTTGGTGAAATTTGTGACTATAGAAGTATAAAATACAATCGTATTAGTGTACAAACTTATAATTCTAATTAATTATAGTCGAATTTCGACTACTGCGGGACCGCTAGTTTTGATTAATACACGATATTTATCTTTGTAATTAAAGGTGCGTTTTATACGGTATTATTATTATTAACAGTTCGATTAATTTTTAATTGAACTTCAATTCAGTTTACACCATGCTCGAAACTCCAAATTTATAGTCCATACTCCCAAAATAGCTGAAGAAGAGTTTAACATTTTAGTTTGTAATGGCATAGATAAAAATCATTTAGAGATCATGCAACGCAGTAGGCGACAACTTAATGGTGGCATTACTGACGTCCACGGGCTACTGCATCGTCGCTCATCTGCCTACAAAGGCAATAAAAAAAAACGAATACTAAAAAAAGTTTTAATTTAAAAACATAAATTGGTTGTAGCTCTTTAACAATATTTCTTAGCTTACCTATTTGACAAAGACTCGAGACGGGGGCTCGGTACTTGGCCGGTACGCCGCTTTCGGGACCGACACGTAGGATCTGTAACTCCTCAGCTGAATCCGCAACTAACGCCTCCAATTCCAGCAGCCGCTCGATCGATAGCTCCTGTACGGATTTACGGATAATTTTTATTTTTGATTGATCATCTTCAATTGTTCTAGTACATTCCGCAAATAATCCTTTATTTGCGTGTAGATTAGATTACGAGCATTAAAACAAAAATTTTAATCTTGTTACTCCAAAACGTTGTGCATCAGTGATTCCGAGAATACTATAATAAAAATTTAAAAACACCAGACTCAGTGCAAAAGAATTTAAATGGCATAGAGTATTCAAGTAAGCACAGAATAGAATTACAGCAGCATATTTTAAGACAGACATATTTTAAACAATAAAATGACTGAAGAAGACAGACAGATACATTTATTTTACAAACCGCATTGCAATTACGAAGTCAAACCGGTTTGAATTCTCGCAATACGACGGAGATTACGCGATTTTTTTATCATTAGCATAGATGAGCAGACAAGCTCACGGCCCTTCCGATGTCAAACGGTAATCGGAACCAAAAGATATTACAACTTAACGTCGCTGCCAACCTTGGGATATTGGGCCGACTCGGATATTAATTCTCAGTCAGGAGATAATCAACCCTTCAGACTGGAACGCCTGATTGCTATTCGGCAAAACTACAGAATACAAAATGCAATAACATTCGTGTTGGAATTAGGAGGATAAAAAAAAAGAAGTTAGGTAAGAAAATAAGGTGGGAATACAACTATAGATAAATGATGAGTGAATAGTATGAATAACATATGAATGAGGCATATGATAACTAAACTTAGGGCTATTTAACAATTTGAACTTCGAATAGGCTATTATAACGCAAATATAAAACAAGCACTAACCGTCACGTTTGACAAACAAGCCCAACGAAACCAGATCGATAGGCGAGCAATAAACAAAGAAATCTGTTTTGCGGCGCGTCATTGGAAAAGTTATTTATAGTTGCGAGCAGTTTTAATTAATTTCGTCCAACATCGCTTTATTGGATTCTGATCGATTGGGTGATGTGTTCATTGTACAAGATTTATTGAGGATATGCCTAATTCTAAGACTAATTGTAAACGAGTTGTGGTATGAAAAAAGTAAGGCGAGTTGTGTCTCTAAGTTGTCCACTTTAATAATCGCTAGCGAAAGATAAAACTATGTAAATGTGAAGTGTCTGAGATATCAGTGCTATACAGTTTTAAAAGGAAAAAAACTTAGGCTCTGTTTTACTACGATGTCTTTTGTTTGATTAACCTAAGAACTTATGTTAACTTATGGGTGACCCATTTACGTTGTAGATGTCTATGGGCTCCAGTAACCACTTAACACACCAGGTGGGCTGCGAGTTCGTCCACCCATCTAAGCAATAAAAAAAGGATATAGGACCTTTTATGCAATAATTTAAGTCAATGTATACATTTGAGAGGAACAATATTTTTCTCTTGTATCAGTGGATCTATAATTTCCATCTTAGTAGCATCCTATCCTTCACGATCGCTGTATAGGAACCATAACCCATTATTCTCATTACTATTCTAATTTTCTTCTAATTCTAATTTATTACGCACTATATTTCTGATATGTACTGCCGCCTTGGTTTTCGTTACGATTTCTGCCACCCGCAAGTCGATAGATCCACCTCAAGTTATAATTAATTGTAAGCACCGCTTTATATAAATGAAGGTCGCGACAAAACATATAGGTACTATTAGAGCTGCGTATAAGTAAAATATAACCTGAGCAGTAGTGTCCGATCGATCAATTTGTGATTCACATGTAGATTATAAACATTTGATTCTTACTTTTTGTTGCACAGGACTACGAGTATTACCAGTCGTGAAAAAGAAAATGCGTTTAACATTCACGTTTCACGATATTTTAATTTACTAAAATCACAAGTGCCTAAAAATTATATCCATTACTCCATTTTTGGGTTTCAAAAAATTTATAATTTATTATACTATTATGTAAAACATTATACAGTTAAACGACTTTGAGTTCTATGGTTCTAGCAGTTTTCAGTTTTTGGATCGCAAATGTTTTGTACACATTATCGAAGGGAATCTCTTGAGTGGCTTTTTGTCCTGAAAGTGGGGCGGATATCCCTTTGAAGAGCTATTAAAATAGTTGAGTCGGAACCTTTCATTTAAAATTGAAACTTTTACTCTAGGGTCCTATCGTAATATACATTAACAGCACACCACTCTTACTGTCATATTAATACAAATAAAATCACATTTAACGACTATTTTTATCATTTTATAACTTCCAATGCTTCTTTTTACATGTTTCGGGGTGACAGGAAGCTATTTTTTATTAAAGTAGACGGTGTAGGTGTTTGTAATTACATATTTAATGTTTGACACGCGAATTTATCTATGTTGCTCTTTTAAACACAGAAAAAACCATAATATCGAAATATGTTAGTTTTTCTTTGGGTTAAATTTTTAGAATAAGAGGACCCGAGCCCTTGTATAGGAAGAGTTATCAAAAAATCTCTAGTAATTTTTTAACTTTTTATTTTATTTTTATTCCTAACATAGATGGACGAGCTCACAGCCCACCTGGTGTTAAGTGGTTACTGGAGCCCATAGACATCTACAACGTAAATGCGCGACCCATTTTGAGAAATGAGTTCTAAGGTCTCTCAGTATGGTTACAACGGCTGCCCCACCCTTCAAACCGAAACGCATCACTGCTTCACGGCAGAAATAGGCAGGGTGGTGGTACCTACGCGTGCGGACTCACGAGACGTCCTACCACCAGTAACAAATGAGTAAAATATACAAGAGATTAAAACTCTAAAAGTGCTTTTAATCTTGTGTAGAATGTAACCGAATGCTTAAGAAAATAAGATTTCTCAGCAAGCTTGCAATACGCTTCAATATGTGCTATGTGTTTTATCAAATTCATTTGATGACATGACGCAAAACATCACATCATAGCTATGAATAAGCTTATGAATTTTATTCTCCTCGAGATATATTCAAGGATAAATTTATACGCAGAAGGTACGTGAGAAATAATGAAATAATCTATTGACACGATGAGATATTTGATACTGATAAATATTAAGCGAAATCAAGTTAGGCGCGTATTATCAATACTTATTAATTTTAGATCAAACGGTACCTATCAGTTTTCATGATGACGTGATAATTTGATTCTCCTCGTGATGTTGAAGGTCTTTGATCTTTTATAGACAGATGAAACCTTAAACCAATTCATCAAAACAAAGTATATTTATAGTTAATTTTCAGAAGAACAGCCCATTTATTACTTTAAAATTCAATTTGTATCGAGCAAAAAGATGTGTTTTTATTTATACATATATATAGAACCTATTCTTCTGCAAATCTGAAAACACATTTTTTTTTCTACCTATTCTAGTAACCTTGAGGGGTTGTTCCAGATTTAACGAACTAGTAGGTGAGCTCACGGGGCTCAAACCGGGAGTGTTGCTAGCACTGGCCCTAGCAAGAGCAGTGCTTCGCGAAAGAATCTACCACCAGATCGGAAACGCGACCCACTGAGAAGATCCGGCGAGAAATTCAGTGGGGGTTAAAAAACACTAATGATGTAGCACTAGCAGTGATCAATTAGTGATGTAACAAATACCCAACTGACCTGTACAGAGCTGCTGGGATGAGCGTCTTCTGTACCCCTCGCGGCTCGCTGTCTCTCCTCTTGCACAGCCTCCCTCTTCATGCCGCAAGCGAGACACTTCTGGTATCGGCAGTACTGGCAACGATTCCGCTGGCGTTTATCTATTATACAATTCTTGTCCTCCCGGCACGCGTATGTGAGATCCTTCCTGACTGTCCTCTTGAAGAACCCTTTGCAGCCTTCACAACTAAAACAATAGTTTGTCGTTTAGTGATTAAAAATTAATGATACAGCGAGGGTTCAGTAATCTTTTTTAATTATAATATGATTCGTTTGTTAAAAAGTACTATAAAGCTAAATGACGCAACCCCCTATGGACTAATGGACCCCCTATCTCTATTGTTGCCGTAAATTTCAACAAGCTCACGACTCTCCTGGTGATAAGCCAGAGCCAAGCCCTTGTCATGCAAATGCCGTCTCCCGCTTTGAAACACGACACCCATGTTTCTTCAATTGCAATGTAATAACTCGTTTCCTCTCACTCCGTCATAAAGCCTCACTTAATAAACTTTAATGGGCAGGGACGGGAAATTTACGAGTATCTAAATATTAAAGTTTTGCTCACAAGGAGCTTCAGATATGTTATTTTTTAAGATTAATATGTGTAAATGTTTTATACGTAAAATTAATATCGGCTATGATTTACTTATAAACACGACGGTCTATCTATCAACATCTACACGAGCTTGGAAACAATCAACTAAATGTTTGTGCTAACCAAAAAAATATTGTATACCAAATTTAAATAAAGATACTTTTACATTCTAAAACATATTAGTCGTCGGTAAGTTATTCGAAATGTCGAAAATATTGTAATTGAAAATAATAGTAGTTTTAATTATGTCTACGTATCCGAAAAGCCCTAAGAATCTTATACCTTTAAACGAGCAATTCTTGTATATTAATATATATGTACATAATCTGAATCTCGGAAACGGCTCCAACGATTTTCATAAAATTTAGTATACCGGGGATTTCGGGGGCGATAAATCGATCTAGCTACGATTTATTTTCAGAAAATGTTGTTTTATTCGCGTTTTCAATAATCAACTCTTCCCGACATCTATTGGCGAATAATAATACTATTTTTCTTAATTGAGGGCAACTAACCGCTTTAAAAACAAAACAAGATGGCGTTATCAAAAAAAAAAACCGAGCAAAGCTCGGTCATCCTCTAGTATGTTATAAATACGTAAAATTCGCATACATGTTTTATATACAAGTAATCGCAGAGATCTTAAGTTCAACATAATCAGGATACAAATTGTATATAATGACGTGATTACGTAAATCACGCGAACATTCGGCATGTTTGTTCCGCAAGACCACCGCTGCTTGATAATTTATTTTACTCTCGTCTTTTTGATTTCGCTTTTTATATTTTAATGTTCACGTTTCTTTGATATCTTTATGTTGATGTTTGATGGATATAATTGGTTCGTGAGAGGTCCTTAAGACCTGATCGCACTGTACACACTTGACTAGGCACCGTGGAGAGCGAAATGAGGACTGACGACGTGACCTGGAGTGATGTCAAGTAGAAAGGACAGGACAAGGTCAAGTGAAGACAACTTGTGAGGGCCCTGTGTACCAACGGGGTACCCTAGGACTATAACAACAACAACAACAACAAGAGGTCCTTGTACAATAATAATCTACCCGGTTACATATCACAGAAAATGACCAATATCGAGCTATTAACCACCTGTTCTAGTACCCTAAACTATCCATCTGGTTTCTCAAGAGTCACATAAAACGCTTAGTTTATTTTCCAGTAGGCAGCGGCTTGTCTTTGATATGCACTGCTGATGGCCTATGATCAACAGTAACCACTCACCGTCAGGCGATGCTATCGATAATCCATCCGTTCCAAACGTTCATTTGAAGGGTAGTGATGACCCTTATTCTATAAACTCAGTTGACACTTGGCTGTGTAAATGTTTGTCATTCATTCTGTACAAATAAAAATACGCTACAATAATATGCTCTCCGAATTGATAGCCACGTTCTTCTTTATACCTTGAATTCGATTAGAAGGCGTACACAAAATCTTCGTTTAACGATTGCTGATCGATTTCACGAGAATTTTCTATCGGCTTTGTAGTTCGTTACTGTACAACTTTATTAACAATACAGTGACTAATAAAAAAAATTTAAATGCTATCAGTCACTTAATATCACTACATAGTATAAAACAAAGTCGCTTTCTCTGTCCCTATATCTGTCTGTCCCTATGTATGCTTAAATCTTTAAAACTACACAACGGATTTTGATGCGATTTTTTTTAATAGATAGAGTGATTGAAGAGGAAGGTTTATATGTATAATAAAATCCATTAAATAGTGGAGAAATCAATAATAAAATTAGTTTCCGAAGCGAAGCGAGGGCGGGTCGCTAGTTTATCATAAAATCAGCAGCATAATAATATGTCAGATAATTTAATTATTAAAAAATATCCAAATTAAGTTTGAATAAGCACTAAATCAGAAATAATGAGCTTATTGAACATGATTACACGCACCGTATACATAATTTTGTTTGTATTGTAATTTGTCAAGATGAAACGATTTTGCGTACCGAGAAAACCTTTAACAAATAATTATAAAAAAATTTTTTATTTAAGAGTTAGTTATCAACACACATCAGAAAAGACTAGAATGTCTTTCAGCTGAATCGAAACCTTAATTAATTGTCTCGTAAAATATCTACGAGCACTTTTTCACGCGACGGTATCAAACCAGACGATCGCTGATTCCAATGTTAATTGAATGAAGTTATTCATATTGATTCAAGTCATCCTCGTCAAAAACGATAATGAATCCTTTTTGTATTACGCCGTCCAATATTGTTTTGAAGCCTCCATGTACTGCGTAGTAAAATTTTTGTCCATGAATCACTCAAACGGAGACATCTGACGCAAGCCCTAAATCTTACTCACTTTGGTTTTAAATCATTCGGGTTTCTGTCGAAGGCTCATTAAAACTTCCAGGACCTACATTAATACTGATTGAATTCAGATTAGTCATTAACGTTATTATTAATTGAAAGATCGATCAAAACCAAACTATAATAGCTATCGTCAATAATATCAAATTAAGTTATAATTTACTATCCGAAGTGCGAGTTTATTTGAAATTTTCTTTAGGGCCATATTAAACATTTTATGATATTTCCAGCGGGTTTCATTCGTGCTATTGTATTAATAAATTCCAACTGTTAAAAAAACCAATAATAAATATTATTGTATTATTAATACAGATCAAAGTAATTTCAATGAAAAAGTCAAAAACACAATTCCATTCAATTTAATTCAATGTTTAGCCTTTGTAGGCACAAAGCATAAAGACATTTACATTAAAAGTTAACGATTTTATTATAATAAATTTCCAGGACAAATATAGCGGAACGCAAAATTAATATGTCCTGGGCAAATTATTGTCGTACGTACTGACTACAAACATTTTTGATAAATACTAGGTATGAGAAAAGTTTAGATTATTTTTTAAACTGATTTCGTTTTATTGCGAAACCTTTAACCAATTTTAATTTCTATTTAGCTATTGTTTAAATTTTTGCCTTCACTAGTTTGTCTTATTAGTCGTGTTGAGTGTGAACTATTTACTACAAATAAACGGAGAATTCCAGATCTAAACGCCATTCTAGTTGCTAGGGCTGTTACCTTAATTGGGAGGGCTAGAGAAATTAGGCACGCATATCAACATATGGGCCCAAACATGACTAGTAAAAAAATCTGTCGTGAACATAACACGAACTGTAGCTTCTGAAGTAAGAACGAAGCTCCAAGAAGTTCGAGGGGTATGCACAATAACTCTAGGAAGACTGAAATCGACGGGATTACATGCACATTTCAATTCACATTGGTAGAGACCCACTTTTTACCACATAAATAATATCAACGTGTTTATTTTGCTCGCAAAAAGTAAAATTGGAATAACAAAGCTTTGAGGCAATTCCTATTCATGAGTCCACACTATACGTGAAGTCAGTGTGCTTAGTACGAGTTTTTTAACGTACTTAAATTTGTATGCAGTTGGAACAGCGCCCCTAGCGGCAAACGTAGGAAAACGTTCCAACTCCATACAAATTTGAGTTAACTTTGACGCTATCGAGAACTTTAAATAACACGCACTTAGCACATAGACGATGAACGCATTAACGTGGATACACATGAGAGAGAAAGGTAAGCTAAATGCAACATCACTGGAAGAGAACCATATGGTGGAAGGTCATTTATGCTATAAGGGTACATACTGTGTTATTGAAAAAGGATCAATGACAGCGAATATATTTGTAATTAGTCCTAATGCTACTTGCCTCTTTCATAGGAGATGCGTTTGTTTTCATAAGCAAGAATGCTTTGAAAGATTTACATGAATGATGGAGAATGTTCTGTACCATCCAAAATCAACGATACAGGTAATAAATCACATATATTGATTGCCACATATTCCGTATCAAAAATATAAATTTCTTTCAGCCGTTCTCTTTTCACATACATACATGTTTTATGTTATGTACGTACCGTCAACAAATAAGTAACGTTTTTTTTTTATTGCTTATATGGATGGACGAGCTCACAGCCCACCTGGTGTTAATTGGATACTGGAGCCCAAAGACATCTACAACGTAAATGCGCCACCCACCTTGAGATATAAGTTCTAAAGTCTCAGTATAGTTACAACGGCTGCCCCACCCTTTAAACCGAAACGCATTACTGCTTCACGGCAGAAATAGGCAGGGTGGTGGTACCTACACGTGCGGACTCACAAGAGGTCCTACCACCAGTAATTACGCAAATTATAATTTTGCGGGTTTGATTTTTATTACACGATGTTATTCCTTCACCGTGGAAGTCAATCGTGAACATTTGTTAAGTACCTACGTATTACATTAGAAAAATTGGTACCCGCCTGCGGGATTCGAACACCGGTGCATCGCTAGATACGAGTGCACCGGACGTCTTATCCATTAGGCCACGACGACTTCAAACGTGATAATTTATAATTTTATAAATACATTATTAGGTCATTAGAGAATCGGGAACACCTATTAAAGCTATTCATAGAAAAAACTGTGAGATAAAAATAGATACAGACGTTATGAACCTATCTCTACCTATGTATCACGTCTCCGTACGTCGGGCCAAAAACAAGTTTATGTTGTATACGTGTTGTCGTAAAGTGTTTACACGAAGCGCGAAGATAATATGATATGTTTTTTGGCGTTTTACGTGAAATAACACAACGTTTGAATTTTTTTGATACAAAATTTTAAATGTTTCTGTGAAGCAAGTACGCTCTGTTGTATTTTGCGCCAGCAGCAGTGACAGTAAAATTGTGTTCACATTTTTCCACATCTAAAAGTGGCTCAAAATAGTTTAGCATAATAATGTGTGTGTGTGCGTTTGTGTGTTTCGTTCCCTTTACCAAAAAAAATCTTAATACATCGACGATATTATAAAATATTTCTAAAAAAAATTACATACTATAATCATTCAAACTGCTACCCATAAACATTATCGTTACTGTTTCCAGATCTTAGTAAATTAAGAACATAAGCGGTTCTTCCTAGCAACGATATATAAAATGCAATTTGTCTATATAATACACACTAACAAGATTTTTTTGCTATTATCGTTCACTACAAAACGAGGAAGCTAAAACCAACAACACGTTTCATCATTTAATATATAGACAAGAGCATAATGCCATTTTTTGAATTTAAAATAGATATGAAAAAGAAAACAACATGAACCTTTAAGTACCTGCTTTCGGACTTGCGCCTGACAAATCAGTATTAAAAAATTCTCAAGGCCAAAAAAACTCTTCAATGACATATACAGGCGACGGTGATCGATAGAATTGCAAATGATCTAGATTGAGTATCCATATAAAATATATATAGTATTAGTATATTATCACATCACCTGAGAAGAATTTAGGTTTTCTGAATAGTTTACACATTTTTTAACAGGTTAACCACGGATAAAACAATTAAATAGGACTTTTTGGCGGGAACGCGAGGAGTGAAGTTGTGTGATATGTTTTATTTTGTCTATTTAGTGTTTCTTCAGGTTTAAATGTGTAATAACGGTGGTTTATTAACTGTTTTTAAAATCTGTGAAAGTGCCCAAATGTGGGAAAATGAAATAAAGCCGTTGGACGTAGCTTCTTGGGTTCCTCCAAAAAGTCCACTGAAAAAATCTCAGTAAATGACCACCATTTTACTAGATTATATTTCATCCCGTATCATCTCATCTCATTTCATTAAATTTGTTTCCCGGTTGATTAATGTCTCAAATTAATCATCTTCATTACATTTCACTCCATATTATAATTTTTCATAAAGATAAGAATATAAATTAAAATAAGACTAAAGGTCGTAGTTACCAGATCAAAATCCCTCAAAAAAAAAAAAACAATTAAATAGTTAAAAGAATAATGAGATGGTGTAAAATCTTTAATTTTGCGCATGCCTTGACGTAATTCTCGTTTTGCACGCGAACAATAACTGGCTTATACGATACGCTTATACGTTTATACACAAGACGTCTTCATCCAGTACACCGATTTCACCGTAGACATCGGTGTACTTAACTGTCTAGACCGGACCGTCTGAGTTTTCTTATCAACTCTGCAAATACTATTACGAAGGATCCGAGATTTAAAAACTTGCTCAGCTTTTTGATCGAAAACGTGTTCATCTGCAAAAGCATTACAAAATATGTATATGTATATTCGATTCGACATTTTAATTGGCTGACTTATACAGAACGATATATGTAGTCTTTTTAAAAAAAAACTAATTTTCTTCTTCAAACATTCTTGAAGATAATCTTCAATTCAAATTATACAACAATCCACGTATATCGTATAATCATTTATTTGAATTAATATTTTATATTTTCGAAAAGTATCAATGCTTACAAATTAGTTAATTAATTATAGTGTCTCGTAATAAGTACTACATACCAGAAAGATAATATGAAAAACCTTTGTATTGGAAACCTCTAGAAAATCGCATGCATTGCCTTTAAGAGCTAGAGATTTAGTTATGTATTATTTTATAAATTCAATTATCTTCTTGCAATTTAGGTATGTAAGGTTCAAGTTTTTTTTAAAGTAAAGATATATACATATACACATTATTACTCTTTTAGAACGGAAAAGTTTTATGAAAATCCATAGCCTGATAGATCAGATAGGCAAGGTCTTTGTGTATTTTGGTTTAGAGTTTTACGTTCTGCGACTATGCCGTGGTTCGGGTCCCAAGACAGGTATATAATTTTTTTAGTAAATCCGTCCCCGAATTATGTTCACGAACGACTTCCACGGTGAAGAAACAATGTCATTTGATACATGTATGTCGGAGACGGTCATTAGTTTGGTAGCTAAACGAAATGCAGCACGATTCCCGAGAGATGGCAGCGCGATTGCGGTATCGTCGGACCTCGGCTAACTTCGTGCTACGACACAGCCTAGCCGATGGAGGCGCATAGATGCCAACATCTGTGTTGGCAACTAACACACTTCCCAACCAGCCTTCTTGTATAGCGGTGCCTCCGTCCTAAGAACTGTCATTCGTTTACGTTTGCTAACGTCAAGAGAAGATTTGTAATATTTTTTTTTTATTACTAGATGGGTGGACGAACTCACAGCCCACCTGGTGTTTAGTGGTTACTGGATCCCATAGACATCTACGACGTAAATGCGCCACCCATCTTGAGATATAAGTCCTAAGGTCTCAAGTATAGTAACAACGGCTGCCCCACCCTTCAAACCGAAACGCGTTACTGCTTCACGGCAGAAATAGGTAGGGCGGTGGTACCTACCCGCGCAGACTCAAAAGAGGTCCTACCACCAGTAAATTATTATTCTAAGACAACAAACGTCATTGGTGTACTCAATATTTCTCTTAGCTCGATCACTCTTTTCGCCCCTACGATGTCTGACGATGGTTTTAAAAAATGTGGTCTTCCCCGACATGTATATGAATGTACCTACTTAAGTTAGAGTAACTATAATTGACTATCAATCTGTATGCCTTCTGCCGCGAAGCAGTAATGCGTTCCATTTTAAAGGATGGGAGAGTCATTGTGCTATACAATTGTGACTTGAAATTTAAGATGGGCGACGGCATTCATGACGGCACTTCGGTAAACACTTCACAGCATACGGGCAGGGAGCTCTTTCACCAGTCTGAGCTGTATATCTATAAATATCTAAAGCCTCACAGATAACTGTGAATCCTGTCTATTTCCACCGCGAAGTAGTTAGGTATTCTCATTTGAAGGGCACGAGATCATCTGGAACTCGTCTATCCATTATTTACACAAAGAAAAATATATATAAAACAGTTATCAGCAACGATCGTACCCTTGGATGTTCTCTGTAATATATTTTTTTCATGTGACGCAAATAAAATTTCCATTCGTTAACACATGCAGCAGCGTCAACGGTAACCTTCGTGCTTTGATGTAAGTGTTTATTCACTGATGCACACAACTTAGTTGCCAATGTTTACTTATAATTCGTATTTAAATAATAAAAAATATGCATTCGCCGTAATTAGTACCCGACACAGGAATTTGGCAAATATGACTCATTCATCACTGAAACCAGTTTTACCATTGTGGACTCAAAAATGGCGAAAATAGCAAGATTTTACGTTGCATTGTGATTGATACCTTTTTGTGACGACCGTATCTCATACCTATAAGTGCTTACAGCATTAAGACCCCGATATATATTTATTAAATACATTTTTATAAGAGGCATACCTTTTATGTAGCAAAACAATAAACATTTTTATCATCACATTACTTATAAATATTCTTTAAGATAATGATACAAAGACAAGGAACAAATTTAACAAAAAGAAACATAAATCTGGTTACACCGATCCAGCTTACCTGTATACTCCGTAATGTTTGCCCGAGGCTCTGTCACCACATATGGAGCATAGATGTTTTGAGCCGCTCAAGGGATGGTTAGGGGGATAATTCTTGAAGGGAGGGGGCGGCGTCGAGTCGTCTCGGAAACCGTCGAGCATCGCCGTATCTGGCTTCATTTCGGGCGGTGACATAGGCGACATAAACCCTGACTCTATGTTCAGCCCTGCAATAAAAACAACCAATCAACGCTGGAAAAATCCCGTGATCAAGATCACCGTAAGCTAAGGCAACAGTAATTCTCTAATTAAGTTCATAGGTAACGACCCCAACTTACACAGCTTAATTAAGTTTGTTTAATTTAGAGAACGATCGAGGCGTAGTACGCCTCTGAATTTGAATGTTTGCTTCGTGCCGATTAAATACGTTTTAGCTATTTTTCATCTATCATATTATTACTAAGATAAGAGATCATTTATGCTACATTTAACCATAATAATAGGACACGCTAAATATTGTGATATGTTAAAGAAATATAATAATGGTTTCGACTGCTTATGGCTTAAACAAGTAAATATTATACATATTTCCATTAAATGTTCACGATTGACTTCCACGGTGAAGGAATAACATCGTGTAATAAAAATGAAACCCGCAAAATTATAATTTGCGTAATTACTGGTGGTGGGACCTCTTGTGGGTCCGCGCGGGTGGGTACCACTGCCCTGCCTATTTCTGCCGTGAAGCGGTAATGCGTTTCGGTTTGAAGGGTGTGGCAGCCGTTGTAACTATACTGAGACCTTAGAACTTACATCTCAAGGTGGGTGGCGCGTTTACGTTGTGGATGTCTATGGGCTCCAGTAACCACTTAACAAAAGGTGGGCTGTGAGCTCGTCCACCCATCAAAGCAATAAATAAAAAATTACTTTTATTTTCCTATTTCTATTATACAAAAATATGATATATACCATGCTTAATGAAAAGAAAGAGTGCTGGTATGACAATATTTACTTAGTTGTATTCTATTCGTCTGAAATGCGCGCGAATATACTTTACTGTAGAATAAATAATATCTCTAGGTATAGACAGTATATTTTAATAATATTCTGCCTTAGTTCTTGTATAAGTGATGTTTAACGACAGGAAAGTATTCTGTGCGTCTCTATCGATTTTGTCTAGATTATGCGGCGGAACTCGCAAACCATCTGAAACTTATTGTTACTGGCCACATTGTCCACTTGAGATTAGAAGTTTTACTTCAAGGATCTTAAAGTGCTCAAAGGAGTCCACCTAATCTTCAAACTATATAAAAGGGAGTCATTTCGAATCCTCCCGATACACTCTCGGTCTTTTTAGGCATTCCAAGCACCGGTCATCGTCCTAGTCGCAAACGTTGAATTTGCTTTAAAAAAAAAGTTTGCCGTTCGTGGCCTCTAAAACTCTAAGGTATTCGGAATATGAAAAATAATATAATGACAACAAAAACGCGAAAATTTAATCATTTAAGTAGTTTTAATTATGCCTACTTCTCGTGAAAAACGAAGAAAACACAACTTCTGCCCCAATATCATATCCCCTCTTTATTATATCCTTCCAGAAGACATTCCACGGCCTATTAATATTAATTCTATATTAACTTTAGTCTATTCTAAAGAGGGAAATATCCTATGTAAGTTTTTATCTGCTAATAATATTTATCTTTAGATAATCTAAAATATATTTGTTTGTGCTGTTCTTAAGATCAATGAACTCAAATTCGCGTATGGAAAAACTGATCAATTTTATTTGTATTTAATATTTTTTCTCTCTCTAAGCACCTGTCATTTTCATGCCTACTGTGACATTGGCAAAATCAATGCCAAAGGCGTTGGAGCTAGACTCCTATATACAAAAAAAGTTAATAGTTTACTTGACTTATGTGAGATCAAACTACATAATAAATAACGTTACCATTTCAATTTAGTTCTTTGTATATGAGAATTATTTAAAATATTGCGCAACAAGTTATTCTCACCTTTCGAATGTCATTTCAATGTATGAACAAACAAAGATATGAATAATCGAATTCTTGATTATTAACATCTATGTATTAATACGTGAAGCAAAAACTTTGTATCCCTTTTTACGAAAATTGCGCGGACGGAGGAGTTTGAAATTTTCCACTCTTATAGAGAATATAGAGAAGAAGTGCACAATGCTAATTTTTTTTTTAAATAATGCATAAAAGATTCATTAAATCAATAAAGAAAACATTACACACACTACATACCATGTATTTGACGCACACACGCATGCATACTATTTATAGTCAAAATTTCGTTCTTGACGTCAGTTTTCAAATTGAGAATAGATTAAATATTGTTTGTCTTTGTTAATATTTTTTTATAGTGTAGCCTTGTGGAAATTTGTGATTATAGAAGTATAAAATACAATCATAATAGTGTATACAAACTTACAATTCCAATTAATTATAGTCGAATTTCGACTACTGCGGGACCTCTAGTAAAAATAATTCTTTAAATTAATGTTCACTCTGGCACTCACTCTTGATGATAAAATAATAAACAAGTTTCATTTTCTAAAGCGTTCCGTTCTAGTATAGTAATCGCATTAATTTGTCTAACAAAATTATTTTCAACGCAATAATTCCACATCAACTTTATAACATAGACTTACTGATTGTGATTGTCTGTTTTCGTAAGAAAATTGCCCGTATTTTAATTCTGTCAAAACAATGAGATTATATCGAAAAAGTTTTTTGTTTTTTATTGCTTACATGGATGGACGAGCTCACAGCTCACCTGGTGTTAAGTGGTTACTGGAGCCCATAGACATCTCCAACGAAAATGCGCCACCCACCTTGAGATATAAGTTCTAAGATCTCAGTATAGTTACAACGTCTGCCCCTACCCTTCAGACCGAAACGCATTACTGCTTCACGGCAGACGTCGAAAATCATGAAATCTATAAATATGAACTTTCGGACTGTTTCTCTTTTGTTTTTAATTGCTCTATGATAATAACAATTGTGTTTTCTTATTAATAAGACGTCCGATTTGTTCATTGCGGAACAAAAATTAAGATGCACGTGTACGTATGTTTTACATAAGTCAATGCATAATTCATTTACTTTTACTTTTTATTTAGTTTTACTGGTGGTAGGATCTCTTGTAAGGCCGCACGGGTAGGTACCACCACCCTGCCTATTTCTGCCGTGAAGCAGTAATGCGTTTCGGTTTGAAGGGTGGGTCAGCTGTTGTAGCTATAATGAGACCTTAGAACTTATATCTCAAAGTGGGTGGCGCATTTGCGTTGTAGATGTCTATGAGCCCCAGTAACCACTTAACGTCAGGTGGACTGTGAGCTCGTCCACCCATTTAAGCAATAAAAAAAAGATTAATTTATTGTTTTAATTTTAATTAAAACGTTATTTTGTTCGGGTTTATATTAGGTTAATTCTAAATCTTTACAATTATGTAATTACTTGTTTTTCTTTTATATTTTACCTTAATTAATAATACTTTGATATTTTCTTGGCGTAGTTGGGTGAACGATTTTACGGCCCACCTTGTCTTGACAACGTTAACGTCACCACACACTTTGAGACACGATGTCCAAGTCTCAATTGTTTACCGACTGTCCAACCCCAGAGACGGGAACGCATGACTGCTACGCGGCAGATTTAAGCATGACGGTATCTGCCCTTGCGAGCATACAATGTGTCCTACCACCGTAACTAAACCGCATTTTTAGCAATATAAAAACCTATTATACGTACATAATAAAAATACATAAAAGACATACACACGTCTAAGTGTGTACCAAGAAAATAAATACATCAAAAACATACCCGATTTCGAATTTGGATTACCCGAAAAGGTCATATTTACAAAGCAAAGTGATGAAACGAGTAACTTGACAAAGCACTTGAATATAATTTATTTCTGAGTAGAGCTTATTACCTCTCTTAGGAGATGGTATGACTAAAAATAAAATGCGTACCGTGTGTTTGTCGAATAAAATTTTTTACACGTGGAATAAATCAAGTCGAATCGGAGCAAAGTATTGATTCATTTATGTATACATGTTTCTCTTGGAAAGAGAAAATTGTTCCTTTGATGTTTGAATACAAATATGTATTGTTCGATGTGTTGAATGTTATAATGTAAATAAACTTATAGTAACCAATGTTCAAAGGGACAAAAAAAACTTATTCCGTTCAAAATTATTAATTAGTAATGTTTATTGTAAACAGAAGTCTAGTGTATTCTACACGTTATTCGCTAATATTCTTTTGCTGTCACTTCTGTCTTTTAAGCGAGAAGTAACTGGTTCAAAACTGAACACAAACGTTATATTTGCGTAACGTTTTGCGGTAGGCAGCGGCTTGGCTCTGCCCCTGGCATTGCTGAAGTCCATGGGCGACGGTAACCACTCACCATCAGGTGGGCCGTATGCTCGTCAAGGGAAAGGGCAATAAAAAAAGTATATATTCATGTACGTACATATTTACATGTACGTGACGTATGTCCACAAGCATTGGTTCACAGTTCACAAAATCTTAGATATTGAAAACGATACCACCGATTTGTTGAAACGACACGCGCGCATCCTACACAGTACATTGATGGCAGTAACCAGGCAGTAACACTATTAAAAAAATCTTCCTGTGTGAATAACCTGCAATTGTATAAAGCTTCCACCGTATAAATAACGCACGAACATAAAGACACGAATAAACAAACAAAAAATCATTTTTATGCTTTAGAAGATCGTCAATGGTATGTGCGAAACATGATTATAGACGATTAGGCCATTTTTAGTGCCAGCCAAGATTTGAAAAAAAGAAATAATAATTGCAAGACTACATACCTATATAAAACTAAATTTACAATATTAACATAACAGCTAAATCGTGTTTTCTTCATTTCGACGTAAGGGCAAACTATTTTGTTGGGTCCCCGCAAAACTACAAGTTTGGAATATACAAGAAGACCTATAAACGTTAAATGCGAACTTTACAAAATTAAACACGTAAATACTACAGCACCGCGTTCTGGAAAATTAATTTATTCCGAATTAAATATAATTTGTATTATACTATTGTTTTACGTGAAGATTCTGTTTAGTACGAGAAAATTACGTTTTCAGTTTAGTGTTGTGACTGTTTCTGACGTTCAGCCATTTGGCAACAAGTAAACATAAATAAAATCAACTTTATGTTAATTACGGTTGCGTTGATTTTATCTCGACTAAATACCACGAATACTACGTATAAATTTATTTCTATTCAACCCATTAAAGACAAGTTTGCGCGCTCACTGCGAAGATTGATCCATTTTTCATGGCGTCGCAATTCCAATGAGTATTTTTCCTGCGTGCTTAGAGAAGTATTATTGGGCTCGATATTTCATGCGGCGTTTAGTACAAGAATCACTTGGAAAGCCCAAACAGACCGATCCAATCAATTTGTTTTGAAACGTTCTTTTTTTTTATATTGCTAGATGAGTGGACGAGCTCACAGCCCACCTGGTGTTAAGTGGTTACTGGAGCCCATAGACATTTACGATAATAAATGCGCCACCCACCTTGAGATATAAGTTCTAAGGTCTCAAGTATAGTTACAACGGCTGCCCCACCCTTCAAACCGAAACGCATTACTGCTTCACGGCCTGTATTATGTTGTGAGTACAAAGTTTTGTCTTCGTATAATAATAATAACGTAGAATGAAGCAAACAAAACAGCTAATTAAAAAAAACACTATAAAGTAAAATCAATGTTGTAATTTAATGTAAATTTATTTAGTTTTTTTGCATCACCGAATTCCAGATGACGAAGCAGTCGTCGATTCGTTTTAATTATCAAGCTGTTTTGCTGGTATTTTGTTGAATTTTGTCTTATTTAACTTTGCTGTAAAAAAATTATCATAATTCAAAATGAAAAGGGTTAATGCGACTTCTGCCTTACATTTAAAATCCTGTTGAAGAAGTAATATTTTATTTAGTCAAAATACAATTTTCTTAAAACTAACTCGCGCTGAATTTTAAGTCAACCAAATTACCAACTAGTGAATCTTGTCTAGTTTGCGACGTGACTTTCAGTGAATGCCTTGTAAATAATAATTCTGTGAGCCTAACGAAAGGCGTTGGAAATGAATACCATTATAATAATATAGTAACACAAAAATGGATGTAAGTTACACTGGAAGCTCTACCAAGGTCATGGACTATACCAGACCCAGAGACAGTCGCCGACATAATGTGAAATCTTTGGAGTTTGAAGAATAAGTTTGGCGGCAGAATAATCAATTAAAATTTAATGTACTTTGATGTCTTTGATTTCAGAAAAACATCCAAGTGGATGTCTATAGCTCAAAAAATATTTTTCAGTTAAGGAGGCCGTCTTCTTACGAAACTTTGTTTTATTTATAATCGATTCTTCAATTTTTTTGTCAAATCAATAGCGCAATACTATGACTACCTTTTTTTAATACATATATATTTAATATGTTTTTTTTTTTGTAACATTTACGTAATATCTTTCAGGATAGATTTCGTATTTCATTTTTTTTTATATTCTTGTAACAAGTTTCTTTAGACTTAATCAAAATCTCCGACGGCTTTTAAAATCTAAAACTTGATATGTTTTTTTTTCTTATTGCTTAGATGGGTGGATGGGCTCATGGACCACCTGGTTTTAAGCGATTACCGGTGCCCATAGACATCTACAATGTAAATGCCTAATAACCTAACCACTCAGTCTTTATAGAAGATCAGCTGCGCAACCCTCCAATCCGAAAAGCATTACTGTTTCACGGCAGAAATAGGTAGGGTGGTGGAATCTACCCGTGCGGACTGACAAGACGTCCTACCACCAGTAAATGTATAGCACATATATAGCAGCATGTATAGTAAATATATATTGGTTACAATGATTATATTGACTCTCTTGAAATTTCAATAGGAAATGATCCTAAAAAGTTCTGGTCTTACGTTAAATCAAAGTCTAAGTGTAATTCAATGCCAGGATCTGTCTCGTATAACAATGTGATCTCAAGTTCGGCTGAGGGAGTCTGCAGTGCATTTTCTAACTATTTCCAATCTACTTTTCTTGACTGTGATATCTNCATCGAAATCTAATTTCTTTGCCACTAGCTTCCACTAACTATAGGCAAAACTCATTCTTTTTACGTGTTGGTGGTGACCTCAACAGACTTGGCAGGTTCTTAGATATTGACCCATTTTATTCCTCTATCACAGGACTTAGACGTCAGCTTAGTGCCCGATTTTTCGTGGGCGATGAGGGGGCAGAGGGTGCGGGGCCATGTGCCGGTTACGTGTAGCACAACAGTTTTTAATTAATTTGTGACATTTATACATAAGTGTACATTTAAATTAGTCTGGTGTTTTCCTCCATTCCTTATGTTGTTTCTTGCTTGCTGATTGTTTTTAATTTTTTTTTTGTTTCTATGCTTTTGTTTCTCTAGTGTTTTTAATTTGTTTATATTGGTGAGAACCTTTAATTGGCTTTTTGTTTCTATTATTTGTTATATTATTATACTTTGTTAGTTGGCTGTTGGTTCTCCTTGTGTTAAATAAATAAATAAATAAATAAATATTACTGGTGGTAGGACCTCTTGTAAGTCCGCACGGGTAGGTACCACCGCCCCGCCTATTTCTGCCGTGAAGCAGTAATGCGTTTCGGTTTGAAGGGTGGGGCAGCCGTTGTGACTATACTGAGACCTTAGAACTATATCTCAAGGTGTGTGGCGCATTTACGTTGTAGATGTCTATGGGCTCCAGTGACCACAGGTGGGCTGTGAGCTCGTCCACACATCTAAGCAATAAAAAATAAAATAAAAAAAAAACACAATTTTGAAGTCTTCATTCCGTAAGCTATTTTCGTCAATAACGATTACGACTTACACTGGCTAGATGAAATGTTACGCGCCATCTAACTTTAATATCTGTTATTAACGTTAAACATTAAACATAAAAGCTAATAATCTTTTATACGCATCGTCGTACATAATGTATGACATTTAAAAGTACGTTCGTTTGTACAGTAATAAATAACTCGTGCAGACAACAGCAAATCCGTGACTCATTACATAAATGGCACACGGTATCTTCGTCTAATAAGGAGTGTAAGGACGATTATTTATATATGAGTAGACTATTATCAAAGCCGGCAATGTGACTTTTGGACAATTATTGGTAAATCAGAAAAACGAATTATTGACTTTATACTCCATTGGCAGTCACAAAACTCTTCTGATCGACATCTTAGATAAATAACAGGTTAAGTATTAACCTTTATTTAATGCAGGTTTTGAACCGTATTCTTTGAAGGAGACGATTATATTCAAATCAATCTGTATTGACATATCAATAACATTTTTTTGTCCAAATGCACAGATTGCCACCTTTGATAATAGACGACTCATATATANGTATTCCATTGGCAGTCACAAAACTCTTCTGATCGACATCTTAGATAAATAACAGGTTAAGTATTAACCTTTATTTAATGCAGGTTTTGAACCGTATTCTTTGAAGGAGACGATTATATTCAAATCAATCTGTATTGACATATCAATAACATTTTTTTGTCCAAATGCACAGATTGCCACCTTTGATAATAGACGACTCATATATAGTTTTTTGTTTGTAAGTAACAAAGTTTGAAAAACTTAGTCATGATTATTTTTTTTTACAATATATCTACCTAAAATCCATCGGTCTTCCATTACCACCTGCGTGATTTAAATTTAATTTCTCCTCCTTTTTAACAACACACGATCACATTTGAATTTTGAACTGCCTTTATTGTTTAAAAGTTTATCAACAATCAGATGTGTTGTTTTACAGTAATTAAAAATATAAGGATTCGTCTAATAAGGAGTGTAAGGACGATTATTTATATATAATTTTTTGTTTGTAAGTAACAAAGTTTGAAAAACTTAATCATGTTTTTTTTTTTACAATATCTACCTAAAAAATCCATTGGTCTTCCACCTGCGTGATTTAAATTTAATTTCTCCTCCTATATAACTAACTACACACGATAACATTTGAATTTCGAACTGCGTCTATTGTTTAAAAGTTTCTCAACAATCAGATGTGTTGTTTTATAGTAGGTAAAAATATAGCAGAGTTCGAACGCGATGCATCGTGCAGCAATTTACTATCATCAGCTTAATCAACTTGACACATATTCTCAATTTAAAATCTTCAGACGTTTTCCAGATTTTTTTTTTAAACTACAACAATGTTTCTTCACGCACACAATTCATTTCAGTTATATCCACTAGCTTCATACGGGCAGATATTGTGAAAGAATGCGAATAATAAATTGTTTATGAATTGAACAACTTTGAGAGAGGTAAAGTCCATGTCGTGTTAATAATGATTGCTTAAATTGTAGATGTATAACTTTATATTCTTAACTTATTTGAGACTGATTTTTTACACTTACAAGTTTTGACCGCGATCCTTATTGCTTATGTACTTATGTCAATTAAATTTGAAAAAAAAAGTCATATTTACATTGTATATCGAGTTCAACATTGGGTGTGGTTGAAGGTGTAGCCATTGGCTGCAGGAAATTCGAATGCTGTGTAGACGGCACCATCTGCTGCTGCTGCTGTGGGCTAGGCGTCATTGGCCACGCCCTATTGATCAACGCAGTTACCGACATTGTCGGTTTATCTTTCTTCGCCACGCTCGACATGGCCACACACAAACATCCTCACATCACTATAAACTCACTGCACTTCAGTAACGGCCTCCGTAAACTGTCAAAATTTACACGTTCACAATACGATCATGAAACGCGATGGTCACGATCAATTTACGCCTGTTGTGATGAATATTATGGTTAAAATTGGCTAGTCCGGTAAAATAATACGTGCGAAAGCGACCGAGCGCGCGGTGACGGTGATCCGGACCGCAGACTTGAGCGTCAAGCCCGTCGGGGACAAAGCAGACATCGTTGTGACATTGTGATATCGTCTGTTATTGCACCCCGTGCACCGATATCGCTATGTTACGCATCGACGATAAGCCACAAGCTTCGACGTCGATGCTTAGCGAGTGAGTAATGCGCAGCAAGTTCGAATTTGACAAAAAAAAAATATGTACTCGACAACTTCCGCGCGGTTACCGGCGTGAAGGTCTCAACCAGCGCGCTCAAGGTCCGCACATTGCCGCACAATCATACGTGAATAAATCTTGTAAAAACGAGTTGCTATAATAACGCTTTTTGCTTTTATAGCTGCAAATGACCACGGATTGGACTAGATGAATTAAATATTTTATAGTCGTATGAAAACATCTGAATAATTGTAGTTGTTAGCTGCCGGCCTTCGTGATCGTGGCTGCTCGTTTCTGTAATTAAGTTTTACGTCACTCATAGACCGAACTCCCCGCAATAGCCTCTGCCATATAAAAATTCGCCGTGTCATTTAGCAAAATTCATTGTGATTTAAATACAATCTAATGCCGATTAATGACTATACAAGGTCATTGAAGTTAATGTATTCATAGGTGTAAAGTGAAATAAAATTAAAAGTACTGGTAGCATCTAAGGTAATTGAAATCGAAGTCTCAACAAATGAAGTTAGGGCCGTGGAATGATTAACAGTGTCTTCACAAAGACTAAATTCTGAATAAAATCACGAAGCGAAAACAGCTAGCTGAAAAGAAATCATCAAGAAATGAAAAAAGGGCTTGTCTTTGTCACGTCATTGGTACAAGCTTGCCTTTTAGGCTATCAAAGGAGACGTTATTTGAAAACAGGGCAAAATGTTTGTTTGTTTTGCGACATGTGTGCGGCCTTGGTCTTACTGCGTATATTAGGGACGTCCGCTGCACGTGTCGCCGAACATTTACAGTTAGTAGCTTATAATTCTCTATTTATTTATATTATTATTTTACTGATTTTCTTTTTGTTACTTCAGTACCGATAGATAACAAGTCAATTTAGCTACGTAATCCTATTCCAAACCTCGAGGGTAATAGTGAGACGCTGTGTTATTACCGGTAAATGACGCTTTAAGTTATTCTTCTGTCACTATACCATTTTACTTATCTATAATCTAATTCTTGGAACGTGGATTCCGAAAATATCCAAAGGTACATATTTTATACTTAGTAGGCGGTGGGATATTATTCACGCCCGATCCACAGGCAATCATTCAGTCGCAAATTCATCCATACCCTTTTTATTAGGTTTAGGGCGTCGCGGCGCCGGTAATATATAAGTATATCGCGGGACTAAATTAACTGAGCCCGTCAATCAAACGGTATCCATCCAAGACGACCCTCAGACTACGTAATTGATAGCCTCCGAAGGGAAAAGAATTCTTTTCGTGCGAGAACGAATATATACAACGCGTAGGAGGAAAATGAGATACACAAGTATTATATTACTTAACTACATTATGTATAGGCGTTTGATGGATCAATCAAACAATCAGAAGCAACTTATTTATAAACAGTACAACGCGATCTTTAACTAACGTAAATAAAGGTCAATAGTTATTTCAACCTGTTAGTGTATTAGAGCCTTGTGTTGAACTTGTCTCTAAGCTAGTAACAAAATTCTTCTTCTTAAGATACAGCTGATACAAGTCAAAAATGAAAATGTTTATGATGCAAGGATACGTTTCACAGAGACTTCATACAGACATAACTTTACTACTGATACCGAATGCAGTTTCACTACTGAGAAGAAAATGCAAGAAATTCTGTACTTGGCCTTTCCAAAATAATACTAAACATAATAAAAATGATAAAAATGTACATTACAAAAAAGAGTATTTGTCAAATACTTTAAAACTGTAATTAATTATAATCAATAATCAATTATAAGATACGAATAACTATACAAAACGTTATGCATTATTGAGCACTGGCCAAAGATCTGTTTAGGACTGTTACGGAGTTAATCAATCTCAGAAAAAAACCCTGCAAGTAATTTCAAACAATAAAAACAGAAAATTCAGAACTTCGTGTAGGTATGTAGGTAGTTCAAACTTATGTTCTGGGTGTGATTTAATATGATAATTAGGAACACCGAGCGGGGTCTGTTTATTTTTTAACTTCGTTAATATTTAAAAAGATTTTAGTAGTAGTTTTTAGTAAGAGACACAGGCCAAAAAATAAAGTTAAAAAATAATGTGTTAAGTTTTTTGGAGTTTACTCCTTTAGAATCGATTTACATATATAGGCCCGGGGTATGAAAATTATGGGGACCAAAACTAGACTAGCATGTCACACGAAATGCGTTATGCGCCTGCGCCGGCAGTCCGCCACAAAGCCTCGTACTGATCGCGCGTTTCTCTCATTATTGTATTTTCATATATTTGTTAGTCGTTTGTTTTGTGTCTCGTTAATTTGTTAATAATCTGTAGTGTATCGTGTTGTCGTAATATAGAACTATTTCTCGTATTGTTTCGTTTAATTTTTTATATCCAGTAAACTCCAGTCGTGCGTCGGAGCGGACACACACACTTTTTTTTTTTTTATGTCGTGTTGTAGAGGTATACTCAGAGTAGAACACCATAGATTTTAATACTTTACAAAATAAAGCATTTTTTTTAATTTCTCCAACAAACAATTGCGTGTTAGTTATAGCAAAGCAAATGCTGTGTTATAAATGTTTTGTATTATAAAAATAACGCTTTAAATCTCCTTTCAACAACATGCATAACAAAAAATAATGTTAACAATAAATTGGTTTATAACGTTAAATTGGTTTATTAATTCACTTGGTAGGAAGAAAAAATTACTAATTAATAATCTTGTTAGAAAGTTTTTAATTCCTCATAAAACTGTTTACTATCGAGATTTTTAATGTCTCTTGATTCTAATCTATCATAATAATGATTGCGATATCATTATGACAAAGAATAGAAATAGCATAGTTAGACTATAATAAATGTTGCCATTGAAAGTGTCATCAACAGAGCTCAAGGACCGTGCATCAGTTAATGGCTTTATTAAAGAATGTTTCCACTTTCGTGCTCATTTAGTTTTTGCTGTTGCATGACGTGCATACGTGCATACGTGGAGTCGTAGATAGATAATATGGAAGCCGGCTTCTTCCCCACTGTGACGCCGCTATCGATCTGTCGACCTTGACTTAACATTTTTTGCCGGCGAGCAACAATAATTAACATTGACAAAAGCGACGCAAGCGCAACTCATTTAACTCGACGAACATAATGATTATATATCTACTTTCGTTTTCATTCTTTAATTAGACCTTAATTTGGAAAGGAATTCACTGTTTTGAATTCAAGCCCAAAATAAAGGATATATAGGTTGTTTAACGTAACGATATTTACTTTGTACATCAGTGAAGACGTGCCGCTGCATTTTAAAAATATTGAGAGATTAATGGCCGTCCTAGACTTGACCTGAAGAGCTAAGAGGAGGTGGGGGGAGGAGCGAGTTGTGAATACGGTGAGTCAAGGCGCGGGGGCGATGCGACGCGTGCATTCGCCGCGAGATATGGGTAAGCGGAACGCAGAGAAGCGAGCCGCGGGGGCCTGCGACCTTGGCGATTCGCTGACGACTACAGGTGTTTTTTGTTTGTGTACGAGATCTCACAGCAATGCTTGCTCGGGCCACTCGGTTCTGGACAAGTCTTTGTCGCGCGTTGAGGGGACAATAACCGGAACTCGAACAGAAACAATAACTGTGTCCCTTCACAATTTACGACTGATAAGGCTAAATACTTTAGGATTGTTTTAGGTTTAGATTATTGAAGATGTTAAACTACAATGAGGTCAGACTTCACCAAGTATTTATATCGACCAATTCACTATGTTCGTTTCTAAGCTCTGTTGATTTGAATAAAAATCCATATCTATTACATTACTCTGTTCAATAATTACTTAGTATCTACAAAAAGTACCCTGCGATTTTACCCGCATTCAATTTGTAATTCAGAAAAAATTAAATACGTTGAATTTTCCTCGTATAGAAGAACTTGTTGCACTCTCTGGTCCGTAAATTCCAATTTATTAGTGGATCTATTGGTACGTAAAATCACACATCAGCGAAGACATTTTCTTATTTATTAAAGCAGATGTATCGGATTTTGTTCGGATTGTGTAATTTGCCTAAAAGGATAAAAAGTGTCCTATGTTTTAATCCAGGTTAAAAACAATCTTTGAGTAAAACTTAATCCAAAACCAAACAGCTATTTTTGCGTGATCGACCAATAAACATACAAACTTTCACACTTATAAATTTAAGTCTAAAAATATAAATTTATGTCATCACATTGTATGAAAATTGCGCTACAAAAAGATATGATTTTCATGTATAATGTAAACATTAGTTGAACTGTTATTTCATCACAATGACATGTGACCAAATATAATTGTTTCATTTACCCGAGTGTTATGTAATGGCCTCAAACTGAAACTGGCGTCAAAAGACCTTGGCCGTGACCACGCTAGCGACCAGGCAGCATTTCCCGCGGCGTGACGTCCGTCACTCAGACTTGCGATTAGGTACACGCAAAATACGCTATTTAGCCAAAACGAATGCCAATTCCCGACATTTTTATAGTCTGGCTTGAATCAACGAAGATTAATAACTTAAAAATCATATTTGCCGGCTTTTACGAGCGGCATTGTGATCGCGATCAAACGTCTCCATCTGCTGTAATAATAATGGCTTCTTTTGAAATTTATACCACAAAAGCTAACGATTCGTTGAAATGACTTTTGAAAATAATTCATTTCACCGTAATGAATCTATGAATCGAAACATCATAATGTAATAAGAAGTGTTTAAATCCAATATTACAACATTCCCAATTGCGTAACGAAGAACGTGACCTTAGTAAGTACTTGATGAACATATTTTCATTAGAGATCTTTGAATAAAGAACGAAATTTGGATTGAAGAAAAAATGAAGAAAAACAAGGTATTAAAACATGTACATTAACGCGTTATCAAAAAGTATAATATTAAGATTCGCTGTTTGACAAGTTAGCTTGAGGGCGGCGTTGAATTCCAATAGAGTTGAAGACCTTGACAATGATACAGTCATCTTAAGCAAATGCATGATAAAATAATAAACAACGATCCCTGAATAATTATTTAGAACGCCTGCTTTGAATTGTGACATCTTGAAGCATTTGAGAATATTTCTTTTTAGGAACTAATTTTCAAATCCAAACCTAAAATTACCTCCTACCCTATTTCAATGCTATCGGGTTAGTGTATTTTGTTTTTACCAATGGAATCTATTTAAATTCATAACATTTTTTAAACTTTCTCTGCAGAAATTTGTAAAGACATCACCAATTATTGTCGAACAAAGGTGCTAAACGTCATAAGTTATACCAAGATGTCTACGTTTACAACAAGAGGAATACCAATTTGAATAATGGACATTGCGATCGAATTATGGGAACCACGCAAAATCGAACGAGTATAACAATTGCGACGCAACTATAGCGGAGTCATGGGTCTGAAATCTTCTCATCTCGCCGTGGTTCTCCTTTGGCACGCTTTTGAAGCTCGGTTACATCACATTGACGTCAAAATGATGAAATTGGAAAATAACAACCGAATGAAACAGAGAACACATGAATGGAACTAAGAGACTAGAGCAATAGAACGCAGTGATAAGCTTATTCAAAACACTAGAGTCAATACACTTGCAACCTTGCTGTGTTCTTCATAGCTCGTGTCAGATAAGACATAAGGGCATTCATTACAACTTTAGTACGTTGCATATATATGTATATATCAGTCATGTCGAGCTAGAAGTCCGTAATTATGATTCTACTTACACAATTCAACCATACTTTGCTTTATTTTTGGAAGTTATCAAATTTTATCGGAATGGAGATATCAATTTATCTTTATGAATATAGTTTTTTAATGAAATTGGCTTTTCTTAAGATTTTTATTGGTTATTCAAGTTTGGGTTAAATCACATCACTGCGAATTTACAAATATGGCTAATAGACAATACCTATTAGCCCAGATTAACTAGATTATGAAAGAAACTTTCCACTTTATTTAAGTCACTTTGTAAAATAGCTATGGCCCTATTACTGTTAAGCGTTTGCAATCAAGTATATTAAAAGCATCCTCCAGTATACGTTTCATTTGAAATTATCCACGTGATACTTAAAATTTCACATTTATTTTGCCTGACGGAATCTGACTGACAACCCTAGCAAAATCGGAACGGTTTTAAGACTACATTTTTTTTTGTTTACAAGACTTATTGTGACGTCACTTTCTAATGATTATTACGTGGAATTACGATAGCTGCTTGATGTTGAACGCCGGTTGCGAATCGTGCATCGATTTTAGAGTTAGTCGCGAGCGGCGCCAGACTCACGGCCGATACGGGTGGCGTCGCTGCTGTGACTGCCGCGCCGCCTCCCCGCTCGTACCCCTCGACGCCACCGTTTGTTTTGCTGTATTTTCGTTGTTAATCATTCTCCTTGACCTTGTGCGACGTCGAGTGGTCCACTGCACACGACTGCGCACCCCTCACCCTGCCATCCGCCCGCGATGCCTGTCCCATCGTATCACACGTGCTATGCCTATGCAGTATATGTAATGTGACCCATCGAGTATTATCACACACCAGACACAGGCTCCTTCGGCACTTCCACCTTTAAATCGATTCTGATTACCATATTGATAATAGAAGTAAGATGATTTTGTCAATTTTATACTTTACTAAAACACATTTTCCTTTGATGTAGATAAGCACAGGACAATCACGGTCTCCACTTTACTAATTCGATTCCAATTAGTTTCTTGATTCTTAATTGCTTTCCATTAAATATCTTAAATTTCATTTTGGGCTCTTCTTCAAAGCGCGCTTTGCATTTCAACATCGTAATCTGATTTAAAAACGTTTTCCATATATTGCATATTCCTGGAGTGACTCAATTGCACCTAAATTGTAACTCCTGCAAAATGATTTTTGTCGACGGTCTTCAAACTCACTAAGCTGATAAGTTCTGTAAAGTGCTTCACCGTACCTCATGTAACGTCCTAGCCTTGCCATAATCTTCTTATTCTATTATCAAAGGGTTCGTCTAACAGCATATGGCAACTAATTGATCTCTAATACTTAAACTATAATCTTGAGATATACTGGACATTTCATGTACACAAATGTATAAGATATATGAATATGAGCTATATTTTGAATGACATTCAAGGTGATTGTTCGAGTGGAGGTGGCTTCAGCGGCATAATTAGATGATTTAGAAAAGACATGTAATAGAACCTGGCGCCTTGATGGACCTCTGTGAATGCTGACTTGCTGTGGGACGACTGCTGTTGAGCCGAGTGCCGGAGTTGAGTTACTGAAATGGATGTCGCGCTGCGTGTCTAGTATAGAAGGCTGATTTGTTCTGTTCCACCTAATTTTACCAAAGGTTATTTGAAGAAGACAATATTTTGACTGAGTCAGTGGTGTGTTAACGGCTCTGACTGTTGCAGCGAGGGTCGTGAGTTCGACCATCGGACCAACATTCGTGTGATGAACAGGTTTGTTTATTATTCGTCTGGGTGTTTATTATCTATATACGTATATATTTAAACACATATAAGTATGTACGTCAGTCTCCTGGTACTCATAACACGCGGAATCCTAATTTTGGGGCCGGATGACCGTGCGTAGTTTGTTTCCAGTTTTACATTTATTTATTTCTTGAAAATATCTCTTATCATTTAATTTCTACTATTTTTATATAGATAAACTACAAGAGCTGCATTTACAATCACGAGCAATGACATTTATTTATTAGTGTTGTGATTAATGTTGTCACCTCCATTCTGCCGCGTAGCAGTTTGGTAGAACATATTAAAATATCACTAATACTTCGACTCACCGCAACATAGCTTGAACCATTTTTTTATTTATTGCTTAGATGAGTGGATGAGCTCACAGCCCACCTGGTGTTAAGTGGTTACTGGAGCCCATAGATATTTACAACGTAAATGCGCCATCCACCTTGAGATATAAGTTCTAAGGTCTCAAGTATAGTTACAACGGCTGCCCCGCCCTTCAAACCGAAACGCATTACTGCTTCACGGCGAAATAGGCAGGTTGGTGGTACCTACCCGCGCGGACTCACAAGAGGTCCTACCACCATAATTTGACTTTCTAATATTTATTTTAGATCTTAGAATAAATACGGTTTTATTTCGCCAACCTTTACATCATAACCATACACACTGAAGCAGACGTTAACACGCGACAGAGGTCATAACTAATTCAATTAAGTGACAGTTTATAGCAGCACATGTGATGAGCACTGCAGTAGTTTAGCGCTGCATTGGAATCAATGTCGTCGTTGACGTCACGAATCACTAGATCGCTTCTTGGCTTTTTTTTAGCAAGCTTTCGGTAGACTGACTCGGGTTGATTTTCGGAATGTTTACAGAATTTCAAACGTGAGGAAGCGATGTTAATAAACTAGAACAATCTCGTGCATTCACCGGCGTTAAATTTGGAATTATAAAAATAATGATTTTTTAAATAATAAACTTTACATATTTACAAAACGGCACAGCCTCATTGCTGTTGAAATATATTTTCTAAGCTTTAACTTGACAACCACTTCCGTGACATAGAGTCAAAGAAGTAGGCTGTTCAAAATCTATGTTTATCAAAGCAATAAAAAAAAAAATTTAAGCAAGTGCAGGATAACTATACTCATACATTAGTTCATTCGCCGAGGAAGGTACAGCCACCCAGACAGTTTCTGCTCCAAAAACAATTATTGTGCAGTCCTTTTTTTTTCTACCTATGCTTGAGCCTTGAGAGCCTTGAGAGGCTATTTCAGCGGGGTGCAGTCCAGTTTCGACGTTAGTATGATGTAAATCGATTTCATTACTGGTAGTAGGACCACTTGTGAGTCCGCGCGGGTAGGTACCACCACCCTGCCTATTTCTGCCGTGAAGCAGTAATGCGTTTCGGTTTGAAGGGTGGGGCAGCCGTTCAAACTATACTGAGACCTTAGTAGATGTCTATGGACTCCAGTAACCACTTAACATCAGGTGGACTGTGAGCTCGTCCACCCATCTAAGCAATGACGTGGTAGTCGTCCCAACCGCACATAGCATAGCCGCTTAGGTTACCAACGATTAGGTAGGGAAAAAAAGGTAATCGCATAAAGCTGGTGTTCGACGACAATATATTATTATACAAAATGGTATTTTTGTGCAAAAGTGAACCTCGTTTCTTTAAAAGTAATATTAAAGGTAATGTAGCTTTTTATCAATAATAGCGGCCCGCTCCGGCCCCGCTCGGGTCTTTAACAAAAATTTCAACGATATTTGACGTTATTTTATTTTTTTAAATAAAAGAACACTTATTGCGGCACAATTACAATAGTTAGACATAATATGCTGTCGCAACGCCTTTTGTAATTAATAATGTGTTCTAGAAAGTCGTGGTACATTATTTTATTCTATCATCAATAGTTTTCGCAGGGCACGTGATGTCAAGAACATTTTAGGTAATTTTTTTACACCTTGTGTTATATTATTGAAGTTTTAATAAAGATCCCTATTTTTTTTCAAAATAGATTATAGCCTATGTCACACGGGAATAGTGTAGCTTCCAAACAGTGAAAGAATTTTTCAAATAAGTTCAGTGGTTTCGGAGCCTATTCAATACAAACAAACAAACAAATATTTCCTCTTTATAATATTATTATTATTATTATATAGTATAGAAAAATAATTAAGTAAAAGTAAGTTAGTTAGTGTAAGTTTTGTAGTTGTAAGTTAGTAGTTAGTGTAAGTTTTTTAAGGTGCTCATGCTTTTCATCCGTATTTTAACTGTAAGTCACAATCTCATAGCGGCAAACGTAGGGACGCTGTTCCAAATCTATACCCGTTTGAGTTAACTTTTACGCGATCGAGAAGTTAAAAAACTCGCACAAGCACACGGGTGCGTTGATGGTAGAAAAAAAAATCAGTGTAAAGAGAATGCACGGCTCCCCGGATTTCAGTTTAGCCGAAACCCAACGTGGTGCCGTAATGAGGTCATGGGGAAACAGTGCTAGCTCGAGGAAACACTAAGAAACACTACTACCACCGATTAAATGCGCTAGCCTCTTAAATTCTGTCCTTACCACTTCGATAAAGCGGCACGACACAAGAACCCTCTCATCGTGGCCGCCGGTATCAACATTCCCGATCCTGCAGACAGAATGGAAAGCAGTCGACGTCTCCCCAAACACGTCATTTCGGATCCTCCCGATCCACTAACGGTGCTTTTAGGTACCTCAAGCACCGGTCATCGTTCTCGTCGAACCCGTCGCTCGCGACGAAGGGCTCGACGAGTAAATAAACCCTCAGACACAGCCCACTGAGTTTCTCGCCGGATCTTCTCAGTGGGTCGCGTTTCCAATCCGGTGGTAGCTTCTGCGAAGCATGGTTCTTGCTAGGGTTCGTGTTAGCAACATTGTCAGGTTTGAGCCCCGTGAGCTCACTTACTAGTTAAGATTACGCTGAAATAGCTTATCAAGGCTCTCGGCTAGATAGGGAAAAAAAAAACTGTCCCTAGACATCAGGCATTTAACATTTACAAATGCAACCTTGTGACGCCATCTATGGCGATTTATTGGAAGCGCATAACAGCGCCATCTATGCAAAAAAACATAAATTAAAAGTAAACAGCACTACTGAAGGAGCAGCTGGTTATAAAGATAAATTTTAAAAAATGGTTAGCTAATGTTAGAAGGAAACAAAACTCCTTTAGTATATAGTCTAGATAATTTATTAAAATTAATGATTATCTAAATTATTTATTTACATTATTGAGTTGGTAAGCAGGTAAGAGAAAATTCTCTTTTTAAAGTTGAAAGTGTAAAAAATTCTAATGTGTTGTGCTTACTGCACTTTATATTTTTTGTCTAATATTTATCACTGAAAATACTTTTTGTCTTGTTATTATAACAAATATACTACATATTTAATATGTATGATAGATTTTATTTTACTTTTCAACTTTGCTCATGTCTTTTTTGCAATAAATTTCAGTAATCAGCAATTAAAAATTAGTGTAAATAATCATCACATTCTTAGTCTAATTAAATGAGTATCATTTTCTAAAATTAATTAATTAAAACACAAATAATTAATGATTAGTAACTTAATTATGTTTATTATCACATGCGTTACAATTAATATTCATTTAAGTTCTTAAGTCTTGCAATTGAATTAAATAATGACATCAGCTATCAAAAACACTTAATGGAACAAAGTATAGATTTGGGTTCTTCCAGAGTGAAATGGTTCAGAAAAATATTTGTTGCAGAGTGTTTCTATTATGAGAACTTAGTTTATATTATACTCTTGGTTATATTTTTTAGTTGTAGAATTTGTTTGGATTCAAAATTTTGGGCACCTATGTTATTTTATGCATTTGCTCTACTTTGAATGTAGTCAATTAAAACATCTTATCATTATTTGTGGTCATTTTAATTAATAAAATCTGTTTCTGAAAAGGTGCGATGTTAAGAAGAACTCTTTGTTTATCTTTTAAAATAAGGCCTGGGCGGTGTAATAGCTAAATTTTATCATTTTTATAACCCTAACCAAACAAGTTAGTAATATCTTAAATATAAGATAATATCATGTTGCTGTTCTTCTTACCTGATTCTCTTGAGGGCTCCATCGTTTGGTATAATTTATCTAACGTTCACTATAAAGCCACTTTCATAGAACAGTTCAGTTGCTAACGATGAACCTGTCAGCAACAAGGTCGTTGAACTAAATATACCTATAAATGAAATTATACACCTCCCTACTACACGAATATTCTTTGCATTCTACATGTGACACTGTTTTACTTAGGTTTATTATCACGATATCTAAAAGGTTATTAGACGTTTAATTTATGGAACATACACTAATTTCACCTAAATTTAATTAAAAAAATCACTTGAGTGACATTAAACAACGCGTCACGTCAGGAATATGGCGTTCAAAAACTAAACCTTTCAATGGTAGCCCCACAGTTTAAAATTTTTAAATTTATTTATTTTTTCATAAAAAAAACCGTCAATACGTCTTCACTATAAAATAATCAACAAAAACTCACCCTGAAAGTTTTCCATGGAAGTGAAGTCTATATTTTTGAACGACAAATTTTGTTTACTTTTCAATGTGAAGCTAATGTCATCATTGTCAATTTTTGTCATGACTAAAGCTAAAAATACACTGACGATGCAACTAAGAGGTGACTTTTAGTCGCACCTCTCAATCGATGGGTCAGTGGTATGCAACCCACGAATTAAGCTCTAGTGTATAAAGCATTTCGTTATTGACTAAAGTCTAGTCAATACCTTGCAAGTCAATTCCAATAAGCCGGGTACTTCAAATTGCGTCTGTAGGTAGTTATACGCTTTATGTTTTATTAATCACACATGCATTAGTATCACATGTTAAGTATTATCTTTTTTAATTACGTAATTAGATCATTACAAAAATAAAAACGATTAGCAACATTTGAAATCTCGCTGCAATTTCTATGTCTAGAACTGTCTAGCTCTTTAAAGGAATTATGTATTTTTCACAAAATGTCCTGTTTTATTTTGTACATTTTTATCACTAAAGAACTTTGGTATGAAAACAGCAGGGTTAAACTAATAATACAGTATACGGTATGTAGCGGGTTAGCTCCACCCATGGCATTATTGAAGTCCATGGACGACGTATTATCAAGTGAGCCGTATGCTCATCTGCCTGTAAGGATAACAAAAATTACAAAATATCCATCAAAAGAGTCAAACAAAATATTGTCCGCTTGAACTTTCAAAGTTTTCTATAATTTGCATGTCTATGGCTACTTGAATAACAAATTTTAATGTGCTTAGATCGTCTACATGAAATTTCAAAAAATTGTAAAAAGCTAATAGGTGTTTTTTGTTGAGATGTAGAGCGTAAGGCATAGTCTGCTGAACGGCATCACGCTTTAACGTTTTTTAGGATTGAAGTATAACTGCCGATAAGCTGGCCTGCAGGCCTTTCCGGTTTCTCCAGGACAGGTGGGCGAGCACGGGTTCAGTCAGGAAGGGTGCTGTTTGCTAGCAACGCCTCCGAAGGAGACCTAACAACTCAAGAGTAGCTGCTTCGCAAATGAATCTGCTACCGCATCGGAATCGCAACCGCGAGAAAGATGTGGTTCCCGATTTCTTTCTTGACTTCATTAGCGGTAGTTCAGGGTACGCGTCTGAAAGTGCCAGGAAATCTCTGCGCTTGACCTTCTTGTCGACTAACTTAGTGTTTTCGGGGTTCGTGGTTCGAACACTGGTTGACTTGCTCGTATAGTGCTTCGGCCAGTAGCTCAGCCTTGTCATCGTGATCGTAAGCAGGGGGTTACCCTGAGGTGAATACGAAGGGGAGCATAGTTGTCTTGGTTCCTGATTTGAGACTCCTAGCTAGACGCCAATACGCTTAGTGAGAGGGCGCGGCCCTTCTAAATAATTTTCCCACTTTGTGCTACGGGCTTCGTTTAGGTGAGATTTGGCGTCCCACTGCAAACGATTCATCCAAAACCCGTTCAATTCAATGGGATAAAGATCGTAAGGCCGAATTGAAGCATTCCTAACTTTTAGGAGTTTTCTGAGCTTGGGGACAGTCTAATGCGGTAAAGTAGGTATGTCGTCGTATGTCTTTTATAAAAAATGAAGAAAGAAGAAATGAATTTCATTGAAATTAAATTGTATTAAGTTGAGTTTTAATGAAATAGAATGAAACGATATTGTATCATACGAAATTAAAAATGTCCCAATTAAATGTTGGGAATTCATTGCGACTTCAGTGAGATTTTGGAAATATCAATGTAATACACTGCGTTTGTTAATTTTTTTCATACCTTCACATATTAACAGTTGCTAAATGGTTAATTTAAACTGAAGAAATACTAAAATAACAAAAATAGAAGAATGGACACAATTGTTTCGATGTTATTGTCAAAATCTCCAACACGGCTTAGGCAGACAATAGTCAATTTTCATAGCTTTTTTACCCATTGGTCACTGTGCATGCAATTTGCCTACATATTACCAAACATTTCAATATATTATGACAAACAAAATACCTTAAAGCATACTTATGTGATTTGTGGCAAAGAATATTAAGCATTACGGAACCTTATATAATAAGTGTCTATGACGTAGACTAAATAGGGTATCGCGACTGTTTACTGCGACTGTCTCAAATATTAAGTGTATTATGCTGCGACTGGTATATAGTCGTATTCGTTAGTTTGTTTCTAGCTTTAATTTTTATTCAGCATGTTTTTTATGCGATTTTATAACCTTGAAGGAATTCATTGCCACTCAGTACTCACTCAACAGTGAATTGGTTGGAATTGGTCCCGGCTACATTTAACAGTGTAGTGTAGTGGCGTGAACAATTTATATTTTGTCTTTTAAATCATAAACTATAGTACAATATACTGCGGTGCTTAAATGAATAACAGTAAACGAAATTTTCGACTTTCCCCACATAGAAAGTGTAACATTTAACAAAATAATAACTAATTTGACGCAGAATTTTACAATTTACTTGCTCGTGTTTGACTGTTACAATAAAAAAACACCAAAACAGTAGTCCAACAACATTCTAGAAGTTCTTTTATTGAAACAAACATGGAAAACAAAACTGAATTTGATTATCCGCATACATTTGTACTCCTCGGTGCGTCTGGGGACTTGGCTAGAAAAAAAATTTATCCTACTATCTGGTATTTATATCGTGATAACCTTTTGCCGCATAACACCAAGTTTATTGGTTATGCGCGTACTAAGCAATCTGTTTCCGAAGTAAGAGAAAGGTGTCAAAAGTACATGAAAATACGCCCAGGAGAAGAAGAAAAATTAGAGACATTTTGGAATGCCAATAACTATGTAGCGGGATCTTATGATGGAAGAATAGATTATGAGTTTCTTAACCGAATCATCAGTAATCACGAGAAGGGCCCTATTGCAAACAGAATTTTTTATTTAGCTGTACCTCCAACGGTCTTTGAAGATGTTACTGTAAACATAAAAAATGCCTGTACATCTAGCAAAGGTTTTACTCGTGTTATTATTGAAAAACCTTTTGGACGTGATGATGTCAGCTCTGAGAAACTAAGTAATCACTTAGCTGGACTATTTATCGAAGAACAAATCTACAGAATTGATCATTACCTTGGTAAGGAAATGGTCCAAAACTTGATGACCATAAGATTTGCAAATCAAATATTCAATCCAGCTTGGAATAGAGAAAATATAGCATCTGTCCTTATATCATTTAAAGAACCATTTGGAACTGAAGGTAGAGGAGGGTACTTTGATGATTTTGGCATAATAAGAGATGTCATGCAAAATCATTTACTACAAATACTTTCCTTAGTTGCAATGGAAAAGCCTGTCACTCTAAATCCTAATGATATTAGAGATGAAAAAGTGAAAGTTTTGAGGCATATCCAACCAATAGAATTAAAAGACATTCTAATTGGGCAGTATGTCGGTAATCCTGAAGGTCAAGGTGAAGAAAAATTAGGTTATCTGGATGATCCAACTGTGCCTGGAGACTCCTTAACTCCCACATATGCTCTTGCTACTTTGTGGATCAACAATGCAAGATGGCAAGGTGTCCCCTTTATTCTAAGATGTGGAAAAGCTCTGAATGAAAGAAAAGCAGAAGTTCGCGTTCAGTATAAAGATGTTCCAGGTGATATATTTTCTGGACATGCAAAACGAAATGAACTGGTCATAAGAGTCCAGCCAGGAGAAGCCTTATACTTAAAAATGATGTCTAAATCTCCAGGAATGAAATTTGACTTAGTTGAAACAGAACTAGACCTCACTTATAGTGCACGCTACAAAGAAGCCAGTGTACCTGATGCATATGAAAGGCTCATATTGGATGTGTTCACTGGTACCCAAATGCATTTTGTGCGTAGTGATGAATTAAAAGAAGCATGGCGAGTATTTACACCTATTCTCAAAGATCTCGAAGATAATCACATTAAGCCAGTGCCATATGTTTATGGATCTAGAGGTCCTAAAGAAGCTGATGATAAACTGGCTGGATATGATTTCAAGTATTCTGGGTCTTATAAATGGAAAAAACCTATTCATTGATTTAAAATAAGTCTGTATTGGTTTTCAGGTTGTAGGTAAACTTGGGTCGGTTTTTATTTTAAAGGTGCATAATAAACATATACATATTTAAAATTTGATCAACATTTCATCAATAACTCAATTCTGAAGGGTGATAAGTAGGATTTAAGTTGACTGTGATTAAAAGACAAAAAGCAATTAATAGAATGCTGTTTAATTACCACATCAATTTTTTTTCACTGGTATGAAATGCTTAGTTTTGTTTCCATACTTAACAATTAAAGAAAACTTTCTGCTACTATTAAAATATATAAGTATACATAATTTCTTAATCTCAGAACTTTTTCTGTATTGTTACTTTAGAACTGAAGTATCAATGTAGATTAAATGATTAAAACTTTTAAGGTCATTTTAAGGTTAATGTGGCTGGTATAGATCTGAATGCATTTAATTACTAATGAAGTCTTCCATTGACAGCACAATAATGAACAATTGTATATTAAGTATCTATGTACATACTTAAAATTTAAAATTGTAAACATTCCACTTATCAATATGTTAGTAAATATGATCAACAAATTTGAATAGGGGACCAATTTATCAAATATGGTTGTGCTTGTGCCTTATTTCTTGAACATAATCATAAAAAATTTATTTCTTGAACGTAATCATAAAAAAATGACAGAGTAATTGAATGAAAGCTGTGATAATCACGTGGTTTATGTAATGAATCACGTTCAATGGTGTATGTATTTATAAATGTTAAAGGTCATATTTTGAATAGATATTATCAGCTTTTTGGTTTCGAATGATTATTGTTGCGTTATACACAACTTAAAAAAATTAAGTTGATTAAGTGTATTGTAAAATTAATTATCTTATTGTATTTCATGAAATAAAAATGTCTTGTAACAATGATTAGTTATATCAATTCATTTTCATCGTACCTGCTTTCACTAACAGTAGTTAAATGTTAACAAGGAGTACACACCTATGCCTGAATATATGTCATACATTTTCGATCTCAATAACAATCAAGTTTTTATTTACTACTAAACCAAATTTAATACATACTTATACTAACTTACTAACTTTTTTATTTTTTTGCTTTGACGATTTGCAAATCACTAACATACTTACTTTACCACCGATGCCAATAGATTATTAAATAATAGTCATGGCCCAAAGAATAAGGTGGTCAAACAGTAAGGGGTTCAAATCTGGCAGGCCAATATCAACTTTTCTGGACGCGGCAGAAATAGGGTTACTAGATATCTTAGTTAAAACCACACCACATGGTGGTTGATAACCAGTTATATAAGCTATCTACCTAAATGAACAGGAAATTATCTTTTTTTTTTGTCTCACTTATGCTGACAGCCTTGAGAGGATATTTCAGCTTCACCCTAACGTGTGTAGGTGAGCTCACGGGGCTCAAACCGGAGTGTTGCTAACATTGACCCTAGCAAGAGCAGTGCTTCGCAGAATCTACCACCGGATCGGAAACGCGACCCACTGAGAAAATCCGGCGAGAAACTCAGTGGGCTGTGTTAATTCGCTCGTCGAGCCCTTCGTCGCCAGCGACGGGTTCGACGAGGAAAGTGACCGGTGCTTATGGTGCCTAAAAGCACCGTTAATGGATCAGGAGGACCCGTAATGACGTGTAGGAAATTATCGAAGACTACACATAATTTATTGCTATGGAAGACAGACTAGTGAGTGTTGTTATGAGGATACAATATCGGACTAATATCAAGATTACAGCTAAGCCTGCGGTAGACCATCAAAGATTTGCGATAAGTCCATGCGCTGTATCATTCAAATCACTGGTAATGATATAGGGTAGGTACTTGAGTTAATTGTTCTCCTAAACTCTAAAGTCAATACAATTGAAACAAGTTTTGAAGAATTTAATCGTGGGTGCGCTGACAGCGGTTATGCGTTTAGCAGCTGATTCCGGTTAGGTATGACTGGAAATTAAATTGTGTATCGGAATAACTACCTATAATATTAATATTCTAGGTGAAAGCAATAAAACAAACAAGTGTTGAATCGTGTTCAATTGCACGATATAGTGACGTTTGTATTTTATCCGTCAAGAATTTTACTATAAATAGTTTTAAATAGATAGGTAGGTAATGATTTTAAATGGTTCTGATAAAAATAGTTTTGTTTGTTCTATTAGTAAAACTAACAGCGATTACAATATTATGTACAATTGATCTTCATTTAAAAACAGGGTTAAAGTACGCTTCATCCTCATCTGTCCATAGTATTCGTTCACTACTGGACAGGTCTCTCTCGATCTACACTAGGTCATCTATATAGGTGCCCATGCAAGTTAAGGAATCTGGAAAGATAGGCCGGACGAGAATCAGCAGAGAGCGGCTTCTTCAGTTATTTTCGGCAGTGACCGTTGTTATCCTTATTTTATTCGAATCATAAGACTTTAATACTTTTAAGACTTTAATCAGAGAATTTTAAAGTTGATATCAATAAAATGGGCCTTATGAGAAGGCTCAAGGTCACCCAAAGAGCAATGGAGAGGGCTATGCTCGGAGTTTCCCTGCGAGACCAAATCAGAAATGAGGAGATTCGCAGGAAAACCATGGTAACCGACATAGCCCAAAGGATTGCGACACTGAAGTGGCAGTGGGCAGGACACATTGCTCGCGGAACAGATGGCCGTTGGGGCCAGAAGGTTCTTGAGTGGCGACCGCGTACTGGGAGACGTAGCGTGGGTAGGCCTCCCACAAGGTGGGCCGACGACCTATTAAGGTTCGCGGGGATCCGCTGGATGCAGGCAGCGCAGGACCGGTCTTTGTGGCGAGGCTTGGGGGAGGCCTATGTCCAGCAGTGGACGTCCATGGGCTGATAGATAGATAGATAGATAGATCAATAAAATATAAGATCAATTAGATCTTATCAATGCGCTTTTATAAGCTTGGTACCTACCTATCTATCTAACGAAATCTTTGAAAGAATTTCACGCCCTTCAAAACACCGGATTGATTTGAAACTTGGTACATTCATCCAGGACCGATAACAATACAATAATTTAATAAAATTGTCCGATCATCCTATTCATATCATTAAGACAACTTCTGTCGGGTCCCCTAGATTAATTTAATATAGGTAACACTGAACACCAGCCAGATGGTCAGATCTGGTAAAGGAAGCGGTTGGTGGTAGTCTATACCATGCGGTCCATACCATCTATGATAGAACACTGGAGGAAAGTCACATGTGGTCGCGATCCTCAGCAGTGAGGGAACAATGAAGAAGAAGAAGAAGAACACAAAGACAATAGGACCAGAATGGACTATAAAACTTCATTTTGATTTATTTAAAATATGGAAAGTTTCGGTTTGTTTTCTCAACCAAAGATTAACATATTGTTGAATGGAATATTTTACACACATTACAAGTATTATTAGGTACTACTTTTTGAATTTCACTTTATATAAAGTAACTATGTTTAGGTATAAGTTTTTTTATTTTTTTTATTGCTTACATCCTACCTGGTGTTAAGTGGTTGCTGGAGCCCATACACATCTACAACGTAAATGCGCCACCCACCTCGAGATATAAGTTCTAAGGTCTCAAATATAGTTACAACGGCTGCCCCACCCTGAGGGGTGAAAACCGAAACGCATTACAGTTTCAGTTTACAGTTATTAGAAAAATTGGTACCCGCCTGAGATTCGAACACCGGTGCATCGCTCAATACGTTTGCACTAGACGTCTTATCCTTTAGGCCACGACGACTTAAATCTCGCGTTTTTAATTGTCATTAGGTATATGTTATTTCCGACGTTGGGAATATTCTACATTTTTCGTGGTCACGGACGAAAGTAGTTTTAATTATATTTACGGCTCGGAAAAAGAGTAGAGAATATGTATTACAACATGATAGGTAACGTATTTCATAAAGATCAGTCGGTGCATATATAAATATAAAATAATGTAATCAATCCAATATCAACATGTACCTATCAACAACTTAAACTAAAAACCTTCACAGAAGTGGAACCCTCTAACTTCCTCCTCGCGTCGTAGTTCTCAACGCTGAGGATCATGACCACCCTTCTATATCACTTTCGCTAGCATGATTTTTCACTGTCGGTTTCTTTCTCTGGCGGTGCGGAAGGCGTTGTGAAATGTGGAATCAAGAGCGGTGCGGATCTGGTCCGACCAATGTACTGGATCGCGCCCGCGAGGCTTTCTCCCATACTCTTTATAGATCACGATAAGCCTCTCATGTTATATATTCTATACATTCAGGAAATGTAATAAAAATATAAGATTTGACTAATGAAGGGTAATAGAACAAAACAAACAACACGTTTTTTTTAAATAATGAAAGTTAAACTAATGTCCTTATTGAATAGAATAAATATTCCCATAATCAGAAACTTTTATATTTATTTCGGTTTGCTACAAAACTGTTTTAGATTCCGTTTAACTATTTTTTATTCTGTGCTAAACAAGTATCGTAATTTCATGCGAATTTCACAGAAATCATTTTTAATGTTTTATTTGTAATTCTAGTAGAAAGTTTAAAAAAAAGGGGAAAATCAGTTAGTATTTTTCATGGCCGAAGAAGAACAGACGGAGACGGAAGAATAGACGTATAATAGTTGTTGAAAACCGTACATAGTTACCATTACAAGAATGAAGGCTTTCCCTCAGAAGTGAGGTCGATAAGTCTATTATTTTGTATTTTTTTGGCTTTGTAGGCAGAGAAGCATACGGCCTAAGTGGTCATCGTCCCTCATGGACATCAATTATAAAATATAATGTCGTAGGTATAAGACGTGTCGTGTCGCAAGACATCTGTTGAGATATATTACGGACATATCGACAAATAAACCGGAGAAATACTTCCTAATCATAATTTCGATGAACGCCAACGAACGAGGGCGATAAACGCCACGTTCTCGATACATTTCACATTTATTTTCTTTTAAATTAGTAACGAACCATGAATAAATACACAAAGATTTATACATCTGCATGCATTGTATTCAGTTTCGTACATTATTTACACAAAGACACCTATGTATATACGTTTAGTAAGCACTGTATTCAACGGTTCATCAGAAACGACTACAAATTATTAAATGAAACAAAAAACCCGACCTCATTATAAAAAAAAACCTAAAGTGCAAAAAGTATTAATATTAAAACCACAATAAAAAC